TTGGTGCCTCCGGTGGAAGGAGCAGGGACCCCTGAGCTGCAAGTCACGACCAAGTCTGTTTCCCTTCAGAGCTTCACGATGACCGAGTTTTTCTACAGATGCTCCGTGGAGTTCCCACAGGTCGAGGTCGGTGAGAAGAAAGACAAAAAGGCTGCCCGAGTATGGTATGGACAAGCGTTCAATCTCGATGAATGCTATGAGTTTCTGGAGCAAATCGGCTTGCTGGGTGCTCGAGGTGACCGCAGTGACAAGCCGTCTGGCCCTGTGAACTGCCACGCAAGCACCTTGAACACTCTCATCCAGCGGGGCAAAACCAAGCGAGCAACTCGAACCTCAACCTCTTATGAAAGCTCCCGGACGCAGCACATTGCCCTTTCCATTCTCGGCAATGGGCACCCGTCCAAGCTTATCAGCATGGAGCGTGGGTTGGAAGGCGGGCACACTGCTGCCACTCGGGAAAGGTTCTTGTTCGCAGTGGACGCGTCCATAGCAAGGCGTGACAGCCTGCCGCAAGATCTTCTGCAAGCAGATCGTGAGCTCCCAGCTTGGACATGGTTGCCTCTGACTCCTTTGCAAGCAACTATCTTTCGGTGGAGTAGCCTGCTCAACAACCCAAGCCACTTTGACACCTTTTCAAGGGCAGATGATGACTCAGACGAGGAAGGGTACCCGGCTGTTCTCCCAGATGGGGTCAAGTCCAGGGTTCGGTACGCTCAGGAGACAAATGCCAACGGCGCCTTGGCGCACTCTTCGGTTGCGACGCGTATATGGTAAAACTCAGCCGCTGGTTTGTGTCCGTGTTAGACAACAAATGTGAAGCTTCTTTTGAAGCCGTTCTTGTCTGCTGCCTCCGAAGGTGAGTCCGTAGTGGTGCGGACAGAGTGGCGAATCAGTGGGCGCTGGCTTGTGAAGGACCAGACGGAGCACATCTACGAAGGCGCGCGCCGGGTCTGCAGCCACTTCGAGAAGAGGCCGCACTCGATCTTGACTGTGCGTGAAGACGCGCAGCGATTGCTCTTAGGTCCCGTGGATGCACCTAGTGTTGTCGAATGCTGGGAAACTAAGCTGTACTTGGTTCGCCCAGGCTTCGGGGTCTTCTCTTCCAAAATATCAGAAGTGACTTGGCCCGAGGCAACCAGGTAGCGCAGTCCATCCGAGCTGCTGGAAGCGAGGGCTCTTCCCTGGAAGCCTTGCACGCGAATGCTGCCCACGCACAAGGCATGCTCAGCGCTGCTGTTGCAATTCTGGAGATGGCTCACGGTGGCGGGGAATTCGATGCCAGCGGCAACTTGGAAATCACGAAAGACCATGTTCAGGCAGGTTGCGCAACGTGGGGTTATAGCCACCGGCCTGCGTTGGGGTTGCCAAATGCCATGCTGGGCTGGGACCTTCTTGAGGGGGTAACAAACAAACCCCTTTCTGTTGCGCAGGTGGCTGCGCGCCTTGTGGAGCTGAACCTGCAAGTCCGGGAAGTGCTGCGTGGGCCAATGGACGCAGCTGCAGCTGCAACCTCCGATGAGTCAGACGACGACATTTCCAAGCCCGTCTCCGTGCCTTGTCCGCCTAACTCCTTTGCCCCACCTGCAGCCACGCAAGCCGCGCCTTTCCAGAAAGATCGGGGCCTTGATGCAGAGGGGCCGCAGCTTGCAACAGATCACGCCGAGCATGTGCCAGTCGATGTGCCGCTCGCAGACTTACAGGAGGATGAGGAGTGGCCTTGCCCAAAACTGGTTGAGTTCGGAGGCAATCACTTTTGCTTTTTCTGAGGGCTGCGCATGCCTTTGTGAGAGATTCGGTTTTTCTCCTCCCCAAGCCTGAAAAACTTTCTACGCCCACGTGTCGCAGACTGTGGCAGGAAGCTGAAGTTCTCTGACTTGGAAGCGCCGGCAGCCATTTTCGCCAAAGGTTTCGGCAACAATGGCTCCATGCTGCTAGCGTCCAAGGATGGCCTCCTGAAAGACCGCGAGCTCCTCCAGAAGCTGCTGTTGCTAGGCCGCAGCGAGATCAAGTTGTCCAAGGTCGTTGACGTGTACCACGTTGTGAAGCAGGTCGGTGACAAGAGGAGGAAAGCGAGGCCAAGCCAGGCAAATGTCCCCTGCCTGCCTTACTGTGACTTTGTTCTTGCAGGTTGCGCAGGCTGTAGCCTGATGTTCTATGTAGTGGCTGACATGGGACTTTGCGCGGGTCATGTTTGTGACGAAACTCGTATGATGCTGCCGCTCCGCCGCTTGAGGCCTTGCAAGTCCTGACGAGCCTTTGAGCTTTTCCCTCGTCTTGGGCGTGTCTCATCACACGCAAAGAAGGGGGGTGACACGACGGTGATCCTCCGGGCTTGGTCTTCCAACGTCGCCAACCAGACACAGTACCACAATGAAGCGATGCAGTGCTGCAGGGTCAGTATCCGCGAGATCTCCAAGCGCAGAGCTTTGTGGCATGACCGGCAGGCCGGGGAACAGAAGCTTCCAGAGTCTGCTGACGGGCGCTGTGCGCAAGAGCCTTCTAGCCCCTTGGTAGAGCCTAGGCAGCCTCAGCCTTCTACTCCACCTACCGGCCGGTGATGGCTGGTTGGCGAGCATCTTGGTATGAACCCAATTGAGACTTGAGCCTTGGTCAGGCAGAGAAAAAGCTGCACTAGTCCGCCGTTCCTTGCGCATGGTTCCCGAACATTCATTATCCTGCCTTCTCAACAACCAGTGGATTTCGCCAAGCCATTCATGTCAAATGCTTGGGTTGGAACTCATGCCCCTGCGCCAACCGCTCGCCGACAACAAGACATCAGAGTGAGCCCTCGAGGTTCCAGCAAGGAGTTCAGCGATCCGGGCCTTCAACTCCGAGCAAGGAAAGTGTGGGAAAAGCATCGTCCGATGGGCCCGCCCCCAAGCCGCTTGAGTTGGATTTGGGCACTTGGCAAGACAGCCCACTTCGCAGGTACTAAAGCTCTTCCCCCTGTGATCCCTCACCGAGGTACTAAGCTGGGGCATGGAGCGGTGGTCGAAGCAATCACGCGGGCACGCACCGGCATCAAAACACAGGGCAAAAGCAATCTCAGCTGATTCCCGGTTGGCTGCACGTACTCATTCGGTCTTCCCCTGGCGTTTGAGGCAATGCGCCACCCCGCAGCCAGGCGCGTTGGAACGCCGGCCACCAACCACCGGCTACCCGTGAGATCCCAACTGAGGGATGCCCCCAGTAGCAGGGCAGGGATAATGAGAATCACGGACTGCCTGGTTCCTGGTGTGTGGTGGAGCGCAGCTTGCCTTTTCTTTCAACGCGGCTGAGGATATGGCTCTATGGCTGTCTTCGTAGACTTGACAACAGGCCTTTGGGCCGCAAAGGCGAACACCGGCCACCGGTCACCGGCCACCGGCCACCGGCCACCGGCCACCTGCCACCGGCCACCTGCCACCGGCCACCGGCCACCGGCCACCGGCCACCGGCCACCGGCCACCGGCCACCGGCCACCGGCCAACGGCCACCGGCCACCGGCCACCGGCCACCGGCCACTACGATAAAACGACTATCCCCCCTGCGGAAAGACCATGCGGAGAGCGAGCGATTTCAATAGAGAAAACGGAGCAGTTCCGCTAGGTGGTTTTGGAATTTTGGGATGTCGCGTGTTCGCATTGTCGTGGGATTGTGATTTGCGCTTCATGGTCGTTTTGAGGCGTCTTGCTTGGGAGGCTGGAAGACATCAAAATATGGTGTGAACACACACATAGATATGGAGAGCGGCGGCTCACGGGGGTGGGGCTTTTGCAGTCTTTGTTCGTGCTTTTGCGTGTTTTTTGGCACTGCTTTTCTACAAGTTGCACTTTCTTGTGTTTGTAGCAATAGCAAAGAGTGAAAGTGAGCAGATGCAATGGATAGAGGAGAAGCTATGCACTATTCTGACAAACAAGTTGCGCTGTCTTGTATGACAACGAAGAGCGACAGGGAACAGATGCAATGGATTCAGGACTGCAATGCGCTGTTTTGACACAAGGCCGCCGTAGAGTCAAAACTAGCTTGCCACTTGCACCACATCAGCTGTCACTTCTTGGTGTGCTGTGGCGCTCGGCGGGCTTGGGGTACTTGTTCAAGTGTGTGGCCTTTTGCGATCAATGGACTCGTTGTGGGGCTTGTTTCGATCAGACTTCACTTCATTTTCTTGAACTAGAGTTTAGTCAGCGCTTCCCTTCCAAGCAGGCTCCAATTAGATGTTAATTAGAACCTTGAACTTCGTTGTTAGTTTAGATGCTGATTCAAAACAACAACTATGCTTGAATCAGTGAAGCTACCAGCTTGTCTTGCCTTACTAAATTCTGGCTATGCCCAAGTCAAGAAAAAGCATCTGGAATGAGGTTCCCATTTGAAATCCTGCTTACAATGTACTCTAAAATAATACAAGATAAATAACTAAATTCGAATTGAAAGCATATGTGGATAAGATCACGTTACATACACATATATCCATGGGTATATGTATGCATCCTCATACATATATATATATAAGTACATATGTCCAGAAGGGCATCTCATGGAGGGTGTTTTTCTTGGCACACCACCAAACAAAAAAAACAGAACAGAGCGCCAAGAAAGCAACAAGACCCATGCACTCCTGTATCACCAAAGAACCCAACATATCGCCAGCATGGATACATAGGGGCTAAGTTTTGCCATTTTTGGTTTGTCGGGTTTCTCGAGGTTTTTTGTTTTGAGGCTGGGGTCAGCGAGAAGAAACAACCATCCGCAAAAAAAAAACACATTTGCCATCGCGGCCTGGGCATTTCACCTAACCGCAACCGAATTCTATTCAAATGAGCTAGAAGAAACAGTCATCTTGTATTATACGTGTGTGCGGTGTTTTTTGCGCGTTGGTGTCGTGTTCGCCCCCTACAGGCTTCGGCCATTTGGGCAAATAGAAGCCAACATAAATGCACCAAGTTTTGGATGGTACCCGTTTGAGACAAAGAGTGCCGTTCGTCCACCGGTTTCGTGTCCTTCAGAGCGAAGCGCCCGAGGCCTGCGCGCCACCACGGCGCTGCACGCCGCGAGCTGCGCGGGGAGCGTGGAGGTGGTGAGGCGCCTGATCGAGGTGGGGATGTCGAAGCCGAGTGGAAAGCTGCCGAATGGCATGCTGACGGTTTTTCCTTTGTAGGGATTTTGATTCTTCGCGGCTGCCCTGTCTGGTGTAGGACCAGTTTCTGGGATACCAACAGAGAGTGATGTCATCGGGATGTCCTACTTTGGTACACATGGAGGGAAGGGTCACGGGAGTTCACCTGAAGGTTTTCCTGGCGGTTTTAGGTTTTAGGTCGATTGCGTTAAGGGGCTTGAGAAAATACGAGAAAATGGGACGGGTCTGAAACGACAATTCGAGCCACTCCAAACAAGAGATCTTTGTCCGAATCGGAGATCTGGAGTTTGGGAGTTTCGGAGAATGACTTGGAGACGCCCTGTGGCACAGGTTCAGACAACCCTGAATGGGTTCTGGCAGATGTTGTTTGCATGACAACATCTGTAGCATCTGTGTTTGTTGGAACTTGTGCTGGGTCAACCATTTTGGAAGTTTGGGAACAGTGAAAGGGCAGAGGTTGGATCAGTACGAGCAATGGTCCAAAGCGCCATTGAGGCCCCGCCAAAAGGCAGAAGCATCCTTTCACATAGCAAAAACACATCGCATAGGCTATGGCTCCCTGGATTTTGCATGGCATGGGGGAAATTGATAACCCGCTTGAAAGGGGTATCTGAACTGAAATTGGAGCGCTTTGCCCTGGAATCGGATCAAGAGGGGTGCCCCAAGTGCAGGATTCAAGATCCCCCTCACGGATCATTCAAGGGGCCCACCACCCCCACCACCCCGACACCGCTGGGCTCCCAGGCGCGGGCGGAGGTGGCACGGCGCCACGGGCAGCTGAGGGCGCTGACGCCGCTGCACGATGCGGCCTGCGTGGAGGTGCGCCACGCGGAAAAACGGTTTGGTCTTCCTCGTGCTTTTGGCACGATATTTTGTGGCTTCCCAATGATGATGATGATGATGATGATGATGATGATGATGATGATGATGATGATGATGATGATGATGATGATGATGATGATGATGATGATGATGATGATGATGATGATGATGATGATGATTCTGATGCTGATGATGATGATGATGATGATGATGATGATGATGATGATGATGATGATGATGATGATGATGATGCTGATGATGATGATGATGATGATGATGACATTTATATTTTGGTATGACCATCCCACCAGCATCACCAAGAACCACTCAAAAAGCGCCACCAAAATTTTGGGGGAGCTGCTGCGTTGGTGGCCCGTTTGGCCTGAGGTGGCGGAGCTGCTGCTGGGGGCCAGGGCCAACCCCTGGGCCAACGACCCCCGGGAGCCCGACCCCGCCTGGCCATTCGCCGGCGTGGGAGGGGCCCCGTTTTGGCCGGGGCGTTGTATTCGGAGACACACCCGTTTTTGTGTTGTGGCTGAAGCGTCGTTTTTTTAGAAAGGCCCGCGTTGCTGAGCTTCCTTGTAGCGGGGTGAGGTTTGAAGGGGAGATGTAGTGATGGGAACGGTGGGTCTGAGCTTGTGAGTCTGCTGCGATGTCTTCTTGAATTTGATGCATTTGATTTGTCTCTAGTTTCATGATTGTCGAGACTGCTTGTGGCGATGTAGACGTTGGTCACGACAGGCTCTTGTGAAGAGGTCTTGCACTCGCGCGACCAGCTTGTACTTTGCATTTGTCAGTGATACTGAAAGCCGAATTTCCAGGGTTCGGGGGCTCTTTTGGTTGCCAATGTTTTTGCGGGATGGGTGACCCTGGTCTCAGTATTGTGAAACCTTGCGCAATTTTTGACTTGAGATGGGTGGGTTTGCGGGTCGGCGGGTCGGGTCTCGGGTCGGCGGGAGGGGGCACATGACGGCACCCGTACTAGTAGGGTTTTGGAGGTGTGGCATTGGAATCAGAGCTTTGCTTACGAGGCAGAACAAGCAAATTCATTAGTAAGGATGCACCCATGCTTTTGTTGCTCGTCCCTGTCTGCTCTGAAGAACTTGTGGTGAGCAATACTTGTGCGACATCCGACGGAGGGCTTGAGATAGTGCAGTCCTCGTTGTTTGAGACGATGGCATGCAACCTCAAGATCACCCACACACCCACACACCCACGCACACACACACACACACACAATAGCAGATGACCCCAAAGCCCGGTCAGAACCACCAAGTATCTTCACCAATACCATCATGCATCCAAGCCAGCTGTTTGCAAGTTTGCCCGCTTTGACCCCAGCACACCACCAAGCCTACCCAAGTCTTCGGCCACGCAACAACCACAACCACTTGGCTTCTCAACCACTCGACCTACATGACATGGGAAGGTCACGGCCATTATGAGTAACTATGGGTCACTATCTGGTTACCCACCACTTGTTTGGATTCCGAATCATTTGCACGGCTTTGGATTCAGGTACCACGAGCAGATGAGCCGCGGCGCCGTGGCGGCGCTGATCCGCCGGCGCCGCGCGGCGTCTTCCGCGGAGGCGGAGGGCGAGGGCGAGGCGTCGCCGGAGCGGCGCGCGCTGCCGGCGCTGCCGCTGTCCGCGGCGGAGCTGCGCCTGGGCTTTGGGGGGACCCGCACGACCCATTTCTTCCCCCCCCACCCCCCTTCGTTTTATTTGGGATTCGCCTAAAGGCATGCATCATGATATTGGTGTTTCCCCTGTAGAAAGCCACAGGAGGCCAGTTATTTTTTCTTGAGTCCACTTTGAAATGATGGATTGTTGATTTGGGGCGCGATGATAGGGGTGTTCACGTCGTTTCCGGCACGGTTTTCCACTTCCGCCTTGAAGGAAGGCTTGAGAACGGGCATGGACTCGGCAGCAAGTTGGCATGTAGTTTTGGTGCTGATGGCATTGCGGCTGCAACTGCCCAGCAATTTCTGATCAGCTCAAGCTGCTGATTGCAATGGTGAGCTTGTTGACTCCGAACCGAGCAAATATGATTGCCTGCCTGCTGAACCGTTTCGAAGCATGCCCGAGCTGAGGCAAGCTGTCCGCGCATCATTTCTGATGCAAGGCCACGAGGTCTTGCCACGCCTTGGCGAGGACGCGGAGTGCTCCATTTGCATGGTAGACATTTCTGCGGAGGACGAGCTGATATGCCTCCCTTGCGGCAGCAGTTGCCGGCCCCATGCCTTCCATGCAGCTTGCTTGAGTCGGTGGCTCCTCACCAAAGCGGGCGCTTGTCCAATGTGTCGCTCCCTGGTTCACAAACGCAAGACACGCAGTGCTCCTGCGCGCAGCCGTGCGCTGCCACCCCTGCCCTCCCCATCCCCACCGCTCCCTGCGCGTTCCGGTGCGTCCCCCGCACCTGCACCTGGGCGCCCGCCGCTGCCCAAGTCTCGCACCCGCAGCGCGCGCCGTGTGCGGGAGGCGTCGATGCCAGCGCTGCCGCCCCTCCCGATGCTGGAGGTGGGTGGCCATGCGCTGCTCAGCTAATGCACCGAGGAATGATCTCCTCGCCATGTTGCACCGAAGGATGTGCATTTTCCTTTTAGCTTGCCCCGAGCGAGTCTCGGATCCCACGTTTGATTTGAAGGGACTGCACCCAATTGACGCGACAAATTCGGGCGGCCGGTGAGATGAACCGTGCCGCCCTGCATCTCGGGGCCATTGCCATGCTGAGCTGGGGATCACAGAGGATCCTGGGCCGTGGCAAGCGCTTCCTCGCCCATGGAGAAACGGCCGAAAGGCGAGGCCCAGTGATGGGAGGCCCCCCCCTACTCATCCAGGTGCTTGCTTGACACGCCAGCAGAACTTGAGCAGTCTGGAGAAGCAAGGAAGGGTCTTGGCCACAGACAAGTAAAGAATGGGTAGTATCTTGGTTGGCCATGAGTTCAGAGGACAGCGCAGCTTCACACAGCGATTGTGCCTTTTTTGGTAAAGGCCAGGGTCAGCGCACGCGGCAAGGTGAAGTTTGAGACGTCCATGTACAAAGTGCAGCAGAGGTTTGGGGAGGAGATCATGCGGCAGGTGCGGGGCCAAGCGGCCGAGCGGCCAAATTGAATTTCCGCCTTTTGGTTGGGTTTTCTGCCCTTAGGTTTCGAGTTGCAAGCAAAATGCCGCAGGCAAAATTTATACGCTCGAGCCTCAAAAGGCATTCACCTGACTTACCCAAAACAAGGCAAGGCAACAGCAATCGGAAGAACCAACCAACCAGCCAGCCAGCCAGCCATCCAACCAAAAGACCGGCCAGCCAACCAACCAAAACCAGCAGCAACCAAAACAACAACACAACCAGCGTCAGCAGCAGCAAATGCCCGTCGCTATGCTTTTGCAACGAGACTTACGGGCAAAAGGCTGACAGCAAACATCTCGTAACAAAAGCTTGCGCATGCAGGATGCAGTCGCAGCCATGGAGCCTGACAATGTTGCCGATCTCAACCCAAAGTTCCTGACCTTGGAAGAAAACATGAGGAGCTCTTTCAAGGCATCATCCGCAAGCACGTTGTAAGACAGTGATTCTATCACAAGTATATCTTCTAGGGTCGAACTCTCTGCGAAGCATGGGCTCCTGGTTTTCCCATGCCCTGGAAACTTCCCATGTTTCCCCATGTTTCCTTTCAAACCCACGGTCCCAACTCAGACTCCTATCTGAATCCGTAGACGCTGGACGCCGCCAAGCCCGGGGGCAGCGCGCCACAGGCCGGTCGGTGGGTTTTGGGTCCGTTTTGGGTGGTTTCAGTTTGGTCCCGTCTATTTTGTGCAACCTGACATTGGGACCCGTGACTTTCTTGCTTGAACAGCAGCAAGCCTAGGTCATTTATTCAGGAGTCTGTAAAAACAGGTTTACAGAAGCACCCTTAGACCCTGCAAAGAAAGGTTCGCAACATCCTGCTAAGAATCCTTCTAAGGCGCTCCTAGAGGGCCTTTACTCTGCCCGAATGGCAATCTTCCAGTGGGGGTGAACTCCCCCCGCCCTAGCGGTCAAGCGTCTCGTTTTCTCATTCCGACGAGCGCATTTACCGTGTGCCAGAAGGCTGTGCTTGCAAGAGACTTTCTTGCCAGACCAGCCGGCATTTGATCATTTGATCCTGCTTGCGAGGCAACCTGCAGTAAGCAACTTCGAAGCTAAGTCTGAGAGGTCACGAAGGTTGTGGCCACCCAAACGGTTAGGCATTCGGTTTGATCTCATCCACGCCCTTGTGCAACCATGAAATTATTCCACTGAAGTTTTACTATGAAGCAAACCTGTGTTTTTCCCTTTCTCCTTTTTTTCTCAGGCAATAGTTGCAGGCAGGCTCCGAGCTCTACAGACAGCTGAGGAAGAACTTACCCCCAACTCCATGGGCAGGGTCTTGCTATACGGATACGGGGTGAGAGTAGATGGCACAATTTATCCATTTAGGCTGAAACATGCCCAGTACCGACATAAAGGGAATTCTGCTATTTACGCTCATCCTGTACCTTCCGGGGTGAAAGCCAAAGCGGATTGCAGGGCCTGGCTGGCACTCCAGCTCTTGCCGAGCTGCAGGCAATCGGTTGAAAAACCGAGGGGCCGCCGCTGGGGCTGACGCTGTCCCGAAAAAAGTATCAGTGTGTGTTTTTCATTTTAAGAGCGACAAGTGGCTTTAAGTTGTCCACTGTATCTAGCACATGTAAGCTGTTTGATGGTGCTTAGGTCTGACGCCACGCCACGCCATGGCACACTGCACCTGAGAACTGTGCAGTCTTTGCGGCAAGTCTATCGCATCATGCAGTCAGGCAACAAGCGCCACTTCCGAGTAGAAAGCGTATCCCAAGAAGGGCACCCATTTATCATAAGAGTTCGCGGGAGTTTGAGCGGCACCAGCATTGAATTTACTGGTTTCCCCCGCTTTTGCAATGGCAGCTCACCCTTGACGCTTTGAGGGAAGGGCGCACAAGCAGCTCCCACTTGAGGTCCACCAAATTCAGGGAAAGCATCCCATTCTCCATGTCCTTTCTTGGGGGAATCGATGTCCTTTTTGGGGGGAATTAGAACATCGTAATTTGCAAGTCTTAAATCAATTAAAGGGTGGTCCTGAAGTGCTACCACGAAAGGAACACACTGCATCGCGAAAGGCCGGTAGCAGAAACAAAGGACTGCAAAGATAGCGAATACGGACAACAAATGCTTATGTGTTGTTGGTTCTCTTGCTGTTGGTGACAAAAGAACCGCTTTTTCTGTGAGCTGCGCGCACTAATCCGAGCTTCACTGACAAAATTTGCGAAAGGAACGCGAAAGGGCGAGCTATCGACCAGAAACGACAGTGATGCTTCCAGCAGTTCATTCTTCATCGTCAAGTCGCTCAACTGTGGAAAGCAGTTGCTCGAAAGCGAGCTTTTCCGAACTGATTTGGCCCCGCAAAACGACCACGGGCCTTCAAAGGCAGGCGAAAGGCTGGCGAAAGGGAAGTTTTCAGGCACCTTTACTTTGAACAGCCCCCGTCACATCACCCTTGGTTCGCTCCAGCCCTTGTGCAAGACTTGCAAAGAGTCCTGAGCCAATGGGTTCGCACGGGCTCCTTGACCGCCATGAAGGGCACCCAGGCTCGTCCTAAGATTTTGATGCCGCTTAGAGCCTTGCGGCAGGCGAAGCTGCACAACTGCGGATTCATGGAGCCGCAGGGGGTGGAGGGAGAGGCGGTTGCAGTCTCCAGCAACTCACCAGAAGATTCCTAATTGCAACACAGGGAACCTGCCTTCGTCAGTTCCATGCCGTGAACAGTGAACAATCCCTAAATAACCTGAACCAACCACCCCAAACCAGCCATACATATACCCTGAACAAACCCTCACCCATACCCACCCAAAACCCACCTCGAAACCCAACCAAACTTCTGTCCCCCACTCTGAAACCATAGGTGTTTGACGCTGTTGCTCTACATAAGAACTTGTATACCCCCCAAATAATTGGTTTTGACCCCCCCCCCCCGGATAGTTATGTTTCGATTCCTTGGATAGTTTTGGATCCCGGTGATTTGTTTGATCCCCACAAGTTGTTTTGGACCCACTGTTGGAACAGGGACCTTCCTTAGGCTTGCCAGAACAGTGGGCACTTCTCACAACGACAGGTCTGTTTTCTCCGAATTTTCCTTGATATGTGCAAGGACCCTTCAGGGCCGTCCGCGCCTGTCTGCGGCCTTAGCTCTCGGATGTGCGGTGGCTCCAAGAAACTGCCACTCTGTGCAGATGGCAGGTTTAGGCCGAAAAAATAGATGAATTGTGTATAGCTGTTTTACACCCCACCTGGGTTGGAGCAAGCTTCTTGGGCCCCCAGTTGTCCCGTCACAAAGTTGATGGTGTTGGGTGTCACGCTGAATACGGGCATGAAGCAATCCTGGTTGAAGTCAGATCATTTCAGAGACACATGGAATAGTGTTTTGAGGCACCCTTGAAAGATTTGCAGGGTCGCGCAAGGTGTTTTTCCACGAACGGTCAATCCTCCGACAAATGCCTGGAAGTCCAGACTTTTTGGGTGAATCATAGAAATCCCAGAAATCCCAGAAGAGAAAGCGAGACTCACCAAGAACTTTGAATGACGAAGCCTACCTGGACCCGGCTCCAAATGCGCCCAGGCAGCCGAGGCCGAGCCGCGGCCGGCCGGCCCGGCCGCGCCCAAGCCGGACCGAGATCCGCTTGCAGCAGGCGGGGGCCGGTGACCCGATTTCTCGGGGCCCGGGGATCAGCATGTGTTTGCCAGATGCGTAGATGCATACATATATAGACAGATAGATAGCGCCAGATAGATAGATAGATATAGAGAGAGAGAGAGTGGTGGAAAGATAGAGGGACAGAGAGCTAGATCGATTATATTTTTTTTTAGGCTAGATTAGAATATTAGATCAGACTAGATGAGATAGATAGACAGGAGCGAAAGGTTGATTGATAGGTGGGTAGACGGGTAGATAGCTACATAGACAGGTAGACGGATCAGACTATTGATTGGACTAGAGTAGGCTAGATAGATAGGACACATAGATTGGATTCGTTTAGAGGCAGGTAGGTAGATAAATAGAAAAATAGGTGGATAGATGTACAGACGCCTAGATGGACAGAGGGATAGACAGATAGACAGATAGATAGGTAGATAAATGGATGCGCAAGTATATGCATGGAAGGAGATAGAAAAACCAATAGGTCAACAAGCTGGCAAGTGGATAGGTAGGGGCACACCCACAACGGTAGCTTGTGACAATTAATCCGCATTTGGTCCATTTTTCCTCATGGCCTGAAAAGTCGCCCAAAAAGGCTCCCGCCTATCTCAGAGCGGTCAGCAAAAGCTCCTGCACCTCACTGGAAAAGTGAATGGCTTACCCCGAAAATTATGCATTCCTCTTGAAGGTGTGCAAGACTTGTCCTACTAAAGCACAACCTGGCTAATGTCCTCAGCGTGTATGTATCGTCCTGCAAACTTGTCCTTTTGAGTTTCCAGCAAGCACGCGCAGATGCAGAGGGCATCAGGGAGAACCAGCACAAAACAGGTTCTTCTACCATGGTCATGGTCTAGAACTATGTCAAATTACAACCTTTACCCGGCCGCTTCGAAAGCATTAATGACATCACAGAACCCGCGACCAGTATATAGATTTGTGAGAGGGGCCTGTGCGGCAGTGCTTCCGAAATTTCAGGTGACCGCACCGAGAACATTTTTTGACCGGCTTTGAAGCTTCGTTTGTTCATCCACCTGGCGTTGTGAGCTCCTGAATCTATGTTTGCGAGTCCCTGCCGTTCGCGTTGGCACAAAAAGACCTGACCTGGATCCGCGGCATGTGTGGAATTTGGAAGTGCCGGAGTGCCTCAAAATTACATGGTCAGGTTCCAATTGGTGTTCCTTCAAAACCAATCGGAACAGAATTCCCCAATGCCAAAAACAGACGCACCCATCTCCCGCGTTCCCTAGCTTCGACGTGCGTGTTTACTTGGGTTTTCCGGGGATCGGACTATGAGGCGATGCCTTCCCAATGGGGATGGTCGTCCGCAGCCTCAGGGAACAGATCAGCCAAGACTTGGGATGGTCCCAGCAGCCTTGTGCAAGGCACGGTTTGTTTCATCTTTTTCCGTTTTTCGTACATTCCATAGTGCATAACCTTTTGGATTTCCTCCTTTTTTTTCCCTCCCAAAGGCCATCTCTTGCCGGCCTAAACCGTTTGGCTTTTCTTGCAGATGGATTTGCAGCGATCACAGCGGAGCTTGGAATCCAGGGTGGGATCTGCACGGAAAGCGTAGAATAGCCTTGTAAAGGCCGCTTGGCCGCTTCCGTTTGCCAACATGTCGGATCTTGCTTGAGGAACTGGCTGGAGGAATAGTTCAACCCGTGACTGCACGTTGCTCTTCCTTTTCAACTGGGTTGAGGCTAGGTGGTTGGCAGATTGCGAGCTTGTACCTGTGACTTGCCAGCTTGGTTGTCAATGTCAGTTACTTCGATGTCAGTTGCCTTGCAGGGTACCTGAAACGGACATGGAACGGATTGCTTTAGGGCAAACTGATTGAACATCTGCGTCACCGACCACCGTGAAGCTGGCTTGACCCTTGATTCATTGAGGGATGTGACACTCTGATGCGCTTAGGGAAATTCATCTTGGCCAGCGCCCCAATTTGTCTGTTGACGAGGTTGCTGGCCTTGTTGCAGTCAGCGCAGTGCTGGCTGGCACCTTTTTGCAGGGCTCCTAGCAGGGTGGGGGAGAAGGAATGAATTCCTGAAGCAGAAAAGATGTTCTTAAACCATCCCGCCAACAAACACGGACGTGCACGTGTCTCCTTTGGTAGATTACTGACCTCTTGAAGGGATGTGCACTTCCATATTTGTTTGTGGGGCGCATCGCTTGTTGGGACACATTCAGGGGGAGCTTCTTGGGTACAAGGGCCATGCTTCACAAGTCCGCTGAGCCATGACAGGGTTTTCAAAGATGTGACGGGCGGTACAAGATGATTTGGTTTGAGGGAAAGTGCTGTCGCCCAGCATTGGTTGTTAGCACCTCGAAGCCACCCAAATCCCACATTGACTATTGAAGGCAACTTGACATGTCATGGCAGCATTGTCACACACACACACACACATCAAAGCGCCCAACCATTTTGGCAGCTCCAAAGCCAGACACACCCATTTGTGCCTCAGCGGCTTTGAACTGACGGTCAAGGCGGATTGGCTGTACCCTTCAATACCCACATCCGCTTAGCGATTTGTCTGTTTTGCATTTATTTGCATTTGACTTTCTCACAGGGGGAAGCTTAGACACATGCTGATTCGGACAATAGCAAGGGGCCCTTGTTATGGCTGTGAATCAAAGTTGGAGTTGCACTGCTGCACATAAACATGGAACCTGAATAGCCAGTGTTTCTGAGCCTCGCGCAATCAATCTGATCCGCGCCGTGCTGCACCGTGCTCCCCGAAGTCTTCTCAAGCTCTTTGGTGTTGGGAGGAATACAGTCCAATTCATTGTAATTGCGTGGGTCTTACACTGGTGCAGGCAAATCTGACATCAGGGGTTCTTTGGAACATGATTGATGTGTGTGTGTGAGGGTCGCCAGTGGCACAGGCGGTTTCTTTTGCTGTGCCGGTTGCTTGTCAGGCTGCTGAGAAAACGCTCGACCTGACAACTTCCGGGACGCAGACTGCGTAGCCCTTGGGAGGAAGGACCGGAGCACATGCGCGAAAGCGGACCCCTGCCAGATGTCAATTTGGCCAAGCTGCACTTGTAAAACAGTTTCGCAAACCAGGTGGATGAACAGGGCCACAATGCGGCAAAGACTTCTGGTGAGCCAAGGCCTGCTCAGCATTTTATTTTTGATTTATTGGATGGGACCAGCATGTTCTGACTTGCCCAAGCAAAAGTTATTGATTCGGCAGCTCACGGCAGCAAAAGAATCGGGCACTCCGAAAGCACTCCGAAGGTCCTCCGAAGGTCCTTTCAGCCGGGCTGGCTCCATTCGCGCCTCAATCCCGAGCATTTTCCACGGCTTGGGGGAGCAGGTTCCAGCAGGCTCCCCTGCCCCACGAGTCAAGTCAAGACTTCAATACTTCAACATTTGGATTGGCTCAAGATGAATGGCAACCCCAAACAACATGTGTTTTCATTCGATTCGTCTTAAGACAACGAAATAAGGGTACCCTCAGACATAGATACACCCATTCAGGGAACCACCCGCCGCTAGATGGTGTTTGAAAAAGGATAGCGTTGTCAGACATATTGCGGTCCCTATGTTAATAAAGCATGCATATTTGCAATGTGAAAACATACTTTTGCCCCCTGAGTTTCAAACTTTACCATTCGGTCAGTTTTCAGGAGAGACACTCGGCCGGGTACCCCCAGAACAGTTCTCATATGCATTCTAAGAACCTTTCATGAAGGGTGTGGCGGCGTTTGCTTTGTGCCCTACGTTTGGGATATAATCAAAGTGAGCCTCAGCACGCGGTTGGTTCTCACTACAGTATTTACCGCGAAGCCCCCCAGGCTCGGTGCCAAAAGCTGACAATGCCTTCGCATCTCTCCCCGCGCCTTCGAATTGCACGCGACCGGGCCCAGCTGAAACTTGGCCGGCCGAATGCTACGGACAGTGAAAAAAGGCTCGAAGCTCATGGATCTCACGGACGCCCCGCAATACAGGTTTTGGATGGTTTTCGAATTGTGACTATTGCGGGTTCCAGGATCTCGGCAATCTGAAAGAAAACGTCCGTGACCGCCTTTGGCAGGGTCCCGGGCGCCTGTGCGTCGTGTGGAGTTGTTTGAAATTCTGGGTGTCCTTCCGAGTCCTTGTTCAACACGGACAAAAGCACTTTCTCCTCTCCGAATCCATATCCAGATGACATCCATTGCTTTCCGCAAATCGGTTGAGCCCCCAGGGACTCAAACAATTCCACAAAGTGGACGAACCGGGGCAGGGTCATCCCGGAGTTCTGCGCTCAGTCTCGGGCGTTGGAGCTTTGTCCGGGTGCCCATCTACAGTTGGTTGCGGGCCCCTAGTACACCTAGCGCACGCGAGAAAAGGAAGTGGAGAGGTGGAGAGGTGGCTGCCTGACTGACTAGGGGGGCTTGCATGAGTGTGATTGGCATGAGCCGTTGAGCCATCAATTTGGACAAGCGTGGGAGAGAGAGGGGTTGAGTCGGGCCAGCCTGACTTGAATGCTTCTGGTGCTGACTAGTGCGAACCGCGCGGCTGGCCGGTTAGGATTGGCACCTTCTTTGGCAGATGTGTTTCCGCGCTAGCAGCGGATCCTGTTCACACAAGCCCCTGTTCCATTTGTGGCATTTGCACCATGCAAATGCCAAGACTGCAGCTCCGCCATGCAACCCCGTGTCACAGGGCTTCAGCAATAAGGGTCGAACTCTTGTGACATGTTTTTTGAAAAAGGAAACCAACACACATTCCACGGTTCGTGTGCACGGCCACACTGCTTGTCACTTGAGCGTACGGCCAATCGTGCGGCACAAGGCTTCTGAATATTCCATTGCGTCAATGCTGCCAACGCTTGGAGGCTGCAGCCGTGCAGGCATGAGGAAAGCATGTCAGGGTGAGCCCTTTGCAACCAACACAAGCAGCTTGGCAAAGCCATGACTCAAACTTCCACGGGCCGCAGCTGAAGCTTTATGCAGCATTTGCACGATGTTCCACATTGCAACTTGACCTGCCAAGCTCACACCAGCAATCAGAGCAACCCACTCAGCCATGCATGTCTGTGAAGAACGGACTCTCTTACTTGCACACGTGAGCATGCTTTGAGCCTCCAACATGTTTCCCGCAGCTCCTTTGCAGCCTGGATCTTGGCTTGGCTGAAGCTTGAGTTGACACAAAGCGTATTTGTATCATATCGTACTCCTCTCCGTTGGACGGAACTTGTCCGAAGGGCATGGCGGCCAAACCGAATAAAACTAAAATCGCCGAGACTTGACAACGGGTGACCATGGGAGCCCCCAAAAAGATCCAAGCTGGAATGCAGCGTAGGATCCCCTTGCCGGGCATCAGGGCCGTTGACTGAAGTTCAGATGCATTGGAGCCATGTGAGTGTTTCCTACAGTTTGGGATCCCAAGCATCACCAAGCCAGCCATGCTTGAGGGGGCTCTCGCTCAATTTTAGGAAACACCCATGGCTACACGTTGTCACTTCCGATGTCCCTTGAAACACCAGCCGAAAGGGGTTCCGGAGCCATATTGAGACAGCCCGAAGTCGGAAAAACACACCCCGTTGCCTACGGTACTGGGTGTAGTATAGAAGGCCTTTGTACTTCCCTTGGGTTCCTTCTCTTAATTTGCAATGCAGCTTCTTTTCTTTATTTGCAGTGGTATATATTATATATATATACATTATATGTATAAATGTATATACATACATATTATACACATACACATGTGTGTATATATATATATACATGTGTATGTGTGCATATATACATATATGGTCCCGTGTTCCGTGTTGCTACCCCCCCCCCCCCCCCATATGGTATGGTCCCCCAGGACCCCCCCCCCCCCGGCCCGAGACCCCGAGCCCCCGGATCCTGGCACCTACGGTCCCACCCCCACCCCGACCCCCTGAACTCGCACCCCGACACCCCGGCACCCCCACCCCCAGGACAAGCCAACCCGCAACCAACCATAAACCAACCCTAAACTAACCCTAAACCAACCCTAAATACACCCTAAACCAAACCCTAAACCGTAGACCTCTACACCTAAACCAACCCTAAATCAACATAAACCAACCCTAAACTAACCCTAAACCAACCCTAAACTAACCCCAAATACACCCTAAACCAATCCCTAAACAATAAACCCTAAACCTAAACCAACCCTAAGCCAGCCCTAAATACACCCTAAACCAAACCCTAAACCAAACCCTAAACCAAACCCTAAACCAAACCCTAAACCGTACACCTCTAAACCTAAACCAACCCTAAACCAACCCTAAATCAACCTAAATCAACCCTGAACCAACCCTAAACTAACCCTAAATACACCCTAAATATACCCTAAACCAATTCTAAACCAACCCTAAACCACCACAACCCAACCACAGGACCACAACCACAGGGGGGGGGGGGTGGTACTTGTCTGACCCATGACCATTGGGGGGGGAGGAGGGGGGCTGGCAACGCTGTACCATATATATATAACATGTATGTTGCAGTGGAGTCGACCAACAGTTCAGGTTTTTTTTGTTTGGTGGCCCAGCCGAGGCGTATGGCGCCAGCAGGGGCCCCGGGTTTGGTGCTTGAGGGGTACTTGTTGGGCCGTGAAAGCAGCACCCACCACTCGGGTTCTGCAGTTTTGAGAACCCAGGTGGACATGTTTCAATCCGGCTATGAGTTTTGATTGGTTCGACCCTTAAGGCGGACATCATGGAAATTGGGGACTTATGCTTACCCATCATGTTTTGGGGTGCTTGCCATTGAAATCAATTCCCAATCGTTGGACCCCTTTTTGGAGGAAACAGGCTGGTAAAGAACCTGGTACTTTTGGTGCTTTTCTTGCTGTCTGCTGTTCTTGGGCTATGATGTGTCGAGTTGCGAGGGAGGGGGGGTGGGTGGGGGCGGGCGGTGGGGGGGGGGGGGGGCGGGGAGGATGTTACCGTCGTTACGAAAGGCTTGCGCGCACACGAACACACATGCCAGTGCACACAGGTTGATGCATGGCCAATGTTGGTTGCAGATGCTGGCAAAAAGCGTCTGGAGAGTCACCAATGTCCATCCCAGCAAACATGAGCTTGCTAGAAGAGCCTCTGTGACGAGAGCACGCAAACGACAGCATAGTGGGGCCCTAATGCATGGACAGAGGGTGGCAATCATTGCAAGTCTATATTCAGCCCAGCTTGACTCTAATGCTTTTCGCTACACGCGCAGCTTGTTTGGAGGCATCGAAGGATTTCAGCCGCGATCGTTGGCTGCAGCTTGTTGGCTCAGATGTTCGGGCAATCGAACCGCAACTTTGCAAAACACATTGGGTTTTTGACCATTTATGCATGAAAGCAATGCTGTCTAATTCTCCCGTTCACTGCCAAGAAAAGCCAGCGGAAAACACGTGTGACGCAGCTTTCGCCTCAAGGTTTTTTTAACACCCTGTGACCTTTTTGGACGGTTTGAAAGGAAAGTCATCAGGAAGCCGAGCACGACAATTTGGGGCTTCCTGATTTCAAGACACACATGCTGCCAATCGGCCATCATACCTTTATTGAATGTCCAAACAAAGCGGCCATCTTGAGTGCTATTGGGTTGGATCTTTAGACTTTAACAACTTTTTTGGGAAATCAAGGTTTTCCACTAAAACCCCAAAAAAGTTAAACTTTTTGCAAGGGGGTCAACAGCAACCAAGTCATCGCAAAGGTTCTGGGGTAAAAATGATTGGAAGGTTGCGCTGGAGGTGGCCCAGACCACGGCTTCCCGAGAACTGCCTGCCCTCGGCTGACAGGCAATCCCCTCCTCCCGTCCCATTCAGAGCGGCGATGATTCCAAGGAGTTGTGTCGGTCACCCATGGGAAAGCCAGGGATTCTTCACCCATGAAGGAGGTGCCGGATTTTGGAAATTCCTCAATTGAGGTTGGTGAATGATAGCAACTAGTGCAGATGTTTGAGCCGACCAATTGGGTATGGGTCAGAATTAAACCACCAGGGACCGCAGGTTTTGGTCCATGTTTCCACTTACCTGGGTTGGCTTTGGGGTACCTATTTTTGACCCACGTTTCAAGTTCGCGGATGGGTGCTCAGGTTGGCGCTCGCTGGGCTGCTAGGATCTCAGGATTGCAGCAGAGAGATCGAAGAAGCCATCACTTTGAGGATTTTACCCAGAAGCCATCCTCAGGGGCAAATGGGTGCTTTATGTGTATAACTGCTATATGGTTTTATGTGGAAAGCAACTCGATCTGAGCCAAAATCACACCCAGATAAGTAAGCTTAGAATTGGGGCGGTTCCCCCACCATAAATAGGTGCAGGAAGCGTTCCGTCTTGTTTCTTCCTTGCCATGGTTTTCAGGTAGGCCCCTTGATACCAGGTTTTGATTGTGACTCACCTGAGCAATGCTCCCACACAGCGAGGCCTGTTTGACAATTCTGAAGGTAGGTGCGCCAGGTATCCTGAAGATATTCCAAGTGCTCTCCAATTCGTCATGCCTTTGTTGTCTCAATGGCCCGCGGTCATTCGGGAAACAAGTGCATCTCTGCATCTCGCTCCAGCCACACACATACACATACACATACACATACACATACACATACACATACACATACACATACACATACACATACACATACACATACACATACACATACACATACACATACACATACACATACACATACACATACACATGCTTGCTTACCTACTTACTTGCTCACGCACGTACATACATACATACATACATACATACATACATACATACACACACACATACAAACATACAAACAGACACACATACATACACACACATACACACATACGTACATGCATACATGCATACATGCATACACACATACATACATACATACATGACAGACAGACAGACAGACAGACAGACAGACAGACAGACAGACAGACAGACAGACAGACAGACAGACAGACAGACAGACAGACAGACAGACAGACAGACAGACAGACAGACAGACAGACAGACAGACAGACAGACAGACAGACAGACAGACAGACAGACAGACAGACAGACAGACAGACAGACAGACAGACAGACAGACAGACAGACAGACAGACAGACAGACAGACAGACAGACAGACAGACAGACAGACAGACAGACAGACAGACAGACAGACAGACAGACAGACAGACAGACAGACAGACAGACAGACAGACAGACAGACAGACAGACAGACAGACAGACAGACAGACAGACAGACAGACAGACAGACAGACAGACAGACAGACAGACAGACAGACAGACAGACAGACAGACAGACAGACAGACAGACAGACAGACAGACAGACAGACAGACAGACAGACAGACAGACAGACAGACAGACAGACAGACAGGGAGACAGGGAGACAGGGAGGCAGACAGACAGGGAGACAGGGAGGCAGACAGACACAGACAGACAGACAGACAGACAGACAGACAGACAGACAGACAGACACAGACAGGGAGGCAGACAGAGACAGACGGACAGACAGACAGACAGACAGACGGACAGGACAGACGAACAGGACAGACAGACAGACAGACACAGTCCCAGCCCCAGTCACAGTCACAGACACAGACACACAGACACAAACACAGAGACAGAGACAGAGACAGAGACAGAGACAGAGACAGACAGACAGACGTACATGCATGCGTACATACATACATAAATAAATACATACATACATGCATGCATGCATTCATGCATGCATGCATACATACATATACGTACATATATATATATATATATACACACACACACACTTACGTACACACACACGCATACATACACACGTGAAGCATGTGGATCCCCCCAAAGGGCTGTTTGCAGGTCAGCTTTCTTTCGGCAGCCACCTGCAGTTAGACATCGCCATGGTGTCTTCAACACGCTTTGAGCTGCTTTGAGCTGCATGGTCCATCTCTCAAAGCAGACCGCCCCCCATCCCAGGCCTGTCTGGTTCATTTGTGGCCCAAATGGGGCCGCCGCATGCTGAGGCGGCCTTGGATGCGGAACGCGGCCCGGCGTGAGATTTGAGCGCTGACGTTGGGAGCACACAATTTCTGATCTGAGAAACGGATGGCTCAGAAATGTCCTTGTAGGTGAGTTCGGCGACCGGATGGCCCTGGTTTCACTTGGGTGCTAATCATTTACCAGTACCAGCTTTTGTCGGTCACCCTTGCAGTATAGTGAGCACGGAAGTTGAAGGAGGTGTTTGTCGTGATTCTCACTTCTCGTCCAGGGGTTGAGCACTACTGAGGGCTGTTTGGGGGGCCATGCTGGGAGACTGCATTTCGCTTGAAGTTTCACTGTCGAAGCTCTTTGCAATCTGAACTGCAAGACTCCAAAAACGAAGAAGGGACACTCAAAAAGGAACCGAAGATCGATTGCACGCCAAGGTCTTGCAATGCGACTACGTCTCGGCGATGGCTGCAGCCTGAGAGAAGCAGCTGGGGCAGAACCCTCTTTTGCTCGGAAACTCGAACATGTGGGGAACACCAAGGGAGCTTCTGTTTGGAACCTGCTCGTTTTTTTGGCATTGAGGGGAAAACAAAGCCAAGCCTTCAGCTTTGCAGCGCCGTTAAAGTAGCATTTTGAGGCACACTTACCCAGTTATGGGTTGTTTAATAGCCGCTTCCGTGCATACTTGCGTCTTTTTGAAGACTGAGCTCCCGCTTCACTTGATGAAGGGAGGTCCCTGGTTTGGACAATATTCCTCCGAGGACCCCTAGTCCGCTTCCATGGTGACCTAGGTGGAGGGCAAGGATTTCCTACTTCCCAGCCATGGCCCAGATCATGAGAAGCACCAACATTCCTTTGAAGCAAAGTGAAGCACAATGGGGGTTCAACTGGTTGGTGTGCAGCCCCGGAGGTTGGCAGTCGTGGCTGGCATCAGAGGACGGTGGACCGGCTGACTGGTGTGTCTCTTTGTGAGAGTATGATTTTTTTGGGATTTAGGGGGAAACAAAAAGGGAACCCCTTTGCAGGGTTCCCCATGTTGAGACAAATGAGGGTTCCAAAGAGGGGATCCCGTAGCGGCGTGCCAGAGAAACGAGCCTGATATCCGCCTTGCGTGTTTGATCTGCCATGGTAGGCTCTGCAAATGGCCAAAAAAGGATGGGCAACCAGGGGGAACTGATAGGACTCGGCCACGGCCCGGCCTTTCCCGAACGGCAGGATGTTGGCGCAGCGCATTCCAGCCTAGTGGCTGCAGGAGCGGTGCAGTTGAGCAATGGCACCAGAACGTTTTTGTCTGACCTCAAAAGGATCAAGGCTTCAAGTAAGACATTCCTGTTTCTTCCAGATTTGGATATTTGAAGGTTTTCATGCAGGTTGCGAGGAATGAAACAGCATTCCAAACGCAGACGAGTTTCTTGTTTCGACAAACATGAGGTTTGACTTGATGTGGCGGACTATTGTGAGGCACTTGGTGAAAGTGCATCACTTGAGGATTTGGCCACTTCTGGATTCTAGGTGGCTGCTTGTTCGTCCACGGATCTTCAGGTATTTCCCCGTCATGCGCTGCTGTTCTTTGGCTAGATTTCTTCACTCGGTTCAGCCTCTGGCAAGCTAGACAAAGATCCTAGCAGTAGAGGATGCCTTGCGGCTATCAGGAAAGCTTGAGGCGAATGACGACCAGGCACGTCGAATTGTTAACGGACTTGGAGCTAAGACAGAGGCACCTGCGCCATCTATGGGGGTCAACAGGGTGCATCAAGGCTGAAGGTTGCAGCATGCTTGCACCCACCGGCACATATCGGCCACATGTGCCATTTGCAAGCACTTGTCGGGGGTGTTTAATCGTGTTTGATGTTGACGATTGACCAAACCAGAGGAGAACCCACAAATTCTCGAGAAAGGATGCAGATTCGCCCCCAGCATTAGTTGGCAAATGATGCAACGGCTTGGCGCGGACATCACATCATGCGACGTTGTTGGCTTCCCCCGGCAAAGGCAGCGGCGATCTCTGCGTTGTCCAAATTGCCAGCCGCGTTGACGGAGGCCTGTGCGGAAGCAAAGCGCCGTTTTGATGCAATTCGCAGCGGGCCAGGGATGCTTCAGTAAGTCTACAAACACGCGGAAAAATGGAGTAGTGATGCTTGGCCTTGGGAATGTTCAATGAGTTGGGTCTGGATCACAGGCATCGGTCTATGATTCTCGCGTGTGCAAACGGTACAGGCACAGTTTGCAAAGATGGTATTATGAAAGAAGTGCATCGATTGCAATGAACACTCCAAAGCACAAGTATAGACGGGATGACCATCATTTTTTTTTGGCAATCATCAAAAAACTTTCAGCCATCAACAAACATATTTTTTAGCAATCAAAAAGAAACTTCCCACAATCTCACTCTGCTGCTTGTATATTCTGTTCTTTTGGTTGGCATTTGATTTTCTGGTTCCTTGAACACCCCTGGTCCCGTGGTCCTTTGGTCCCTTGGTCCTTCGGTCCCTTGGTCCTTTGGTCCCTTGGTCCTCTGGTCCCTTGGTCCTTTGGTCACCTTGGTCCCTTGGTCCTCCACTTTCCTGGTCCTTGCTCCTCTGGTCCCTTGGTGCCTGGTCTTGGTCTCCTGGTCCCTTGGTCCCGGTCCTGGAGCCCTTGATCCTTTGGTCCCTCGCTTCTTTGGTTATCTTTGGCCTCTGCTCTGTTGGTCTTGGTCCCTTCATCCTTGCATTTCTGGTCCTCTCGTCCTCTGGTCCCTTGGTCCCTTGGTCCTTTGGTCTCTTGATCCTTTGGTCTTTTGAGTTCCTCTCTGTTTGGCTTTTGCAGCTTTTTGTTGGGTTTATGCAGCTTTTGCGGCTTTGGCTTTTCGCATCCTCTGCATTACCAGTTTCTCTCAGGTGGCTTTTTGGCTTTGTGGCTTTTGGCGGCATTCTGGCTTTGGCTTTTTGCATCCTCTGCTTTCCCAGTTGGTTTTTGGCCGTGGCTTCCTGCATCCTCAGTTCCTCTTGCCCCCCTTTCAATTGAAATGCCACCCCTATTCAAATCATCACTTTTTCGATCATCATGGGGGGGCCAACCCCCCACTACTATGTAGATTTTTTGCCCCTCATTGAATCATCACTTTTTCGATAATTGAATCATCACTTTCTGGATCATCATGGGGGGGCTGCCGCCCCCCAAACCCCCCCGCCACTTTTAGATGTTTGGCCACAACTTGAATGATCACTTTTTCGATCACCATTGGGGGGCTGCCCCCCCCCCCCCCCCGCTACTTCTCAGATTTTTGCCCTAGTTGAATCATTATTTTCTTGATCATCGAGCTGCAAACCCCCCCTCTACTTTTAGATTTGTGGCCCCCAATTTGAATCATCACTTTTTCGATCGTCATGCGGTAGCCCCCCCCCCCCAACTTCCCCGCCACTTCAAGATGTTTTGCCCCTAATTGAATCATCACTTTCTGGATCATCATGGGGGGGCTATTTTTAGATGTTTGGCCACAATTTGAATGCTCACTTTGTCGATCATCGTGGGGGGGCTGCCGCCCCCCCCAACCCCCCCGCTACTTTTTAGATTTTTTGCCCCCTCGCTGGTTTTTAGATTTCTTGCCCCCTAATTGAATCATCAGTTTTTCGATCATCATGGGGGGGGGGCTGCCGCCCCCCCCAACCCCCCCGCTACTGATCCAGAAAGTGATGATTCAATTAGGGGCAAAAAATCGAAAAGTGCGGGGGAAGTTGGGCGGGGGGCTGCCGCATGACGATCGAATGATTCAATGAGGGGCAAAAAATCTAAGGGGAAGTTTTAGATTTTTTGCCTCCTCGCTGAATATTTAGATGTCTTGTCCCTAGTTGAATCATCAGTTTTTCGATCATGATGGGGGGGGCTGCCGCCCCCCCAACCCCCCCGCTACTGATCCAGAAAGTGATGATTCAATTAGGGGCAAAAAATTGAAAAGTGCGGGGGAAGTTGGGCGGGGGGCTGCCGCATGACGATCGAATGATTCAATTAGGGGCAAAAAATCTAAGGGGAAGTTTTAGACTTTTTGCCTCCTCGCTGGATATTTAGATTTCTTGCCCCTAGTTGAATTACTTGTTAAATTGTTTACCCCTAATTGAATCATCACTTGTTCGATCACCATGGGGGGCTGCCCCCCCCCCCCCGCTACTTCTCAGATTTTTTGCCCCAGTTGAATCATTATTTTCTTGATCATCGAGCTGCCACCCCCCCCCCCCAAACCCCCCCTCTACTTTTAGATTTGTGGTCATGCGGTAGCCCCCCCCCCCCAACTTCCCCGCCACTTCAAGATGTTTTGCCCCTAATTGAATCATCACTTTCTGGATCATCATGGGGGGGGGCTGCTGCCCCCCCAACCCCCCCGCTATTTTTAGATGTTTGGCCACAATTTGAATGCTCACTTTGTCGATCATCGTGCGGGGGGCTGCCGCCCCCCCCAACCCCCCCGGTACTTTTTAGATTTTTTGCCCCCTCGCTGGTTTTTAGATTTCTTGCCCCCTAATTGAATCATCAGTTTTTCGATCATCATGGGGGGCTGCCGCCCCCCCCAACCCCCCCGCTACTGATCCAGAAAGTGATGATTCAATTAGGGGCAAAAAATCGAAAAGTGCGGGAGAAGTTGGGCGGGGGGCTGCCGCATGACGATCGAATGATTCAATTAGGGGCAAAAAATATAAGGGGCAGTTTTAGATTTTTTGTCTCCTCGCTGGTTATTTAGATTTCTTGCCCCTAGTTGAATCATCAGTTTTTCGATCATCATGGGGGGGCTGCTGCCCCCCCCAACCCCCCCGCTACTTTTTAAATTGTTTACCCCTAATTGAATCATCACTTGTTCGATCACCAGGGGGCCCCCCAACCCCCCCCGCTACTTCTCGGATTTTGTGCCCCAGTTGAAAAATTATTATTTTGATCATCATGGTGGGGGGCTGCCACCCCTCCCCCCCAACCCCCCCGCTACTTTTAAGATCTGTGGCCCCCAATTGAATCATCACTTGTTCGATCATCATGGGGGGGAACTCCGCCCCCCCTAACCTACGTTGTTAATTTGTTTGCCTCTAGTTGAATCATCACTCCCCCGACCACCACTGGGCGGGCTGCCCCCATCCCCCCCCCCAAGCCCTCCGCTACTTGTTGGACTTTTGCCAGAGATTAAAATGCAACCCCAGTTGAATCACCACGTTTTCGCACATCATGGGGAGGCTTTTGTTACCATCATGGACCGCCTCGCTGCTTTTTAACATACATACATACATAAATACCTACCTACCTTGGAACTGGTGATGCTGAGGATGTAGGAATTCGATGTGCTGGTGATGCTGGGGATGTTGGCTGGACATGCGGGGGATGTTGAAAACGATGCTGATGATGTTGACGGGCTAGTGTAGAACACGTACACTTCGTGAGAAAATGCTTTAAAATACAGTATTTGCTAGCCAGTCCGGAAAACAAAAAAAAGTCCCAAAATAAAACACAAAAACAAATTAAGTCTCGACCCTTTTTGTTTGTCTGTTCTTCTTCGTCTCTCCTGCTCTATCTCTCCTACTCGGTTTTTCTATTTCCAAGAACATGAGGAAACCCCGGCCTATACGTCTTTGTCGTGTAAACGCCCAGACCATCGCAAAAGAGTAACCCCGTAGCTACAGCACGTGTGATGAGACCGTGTTCGTGCGCGTGCACTGCGTGTTCCTTTTGATACACACGTTTCTCAGTAAATGCAGCCCTGAGTGCATTAAGTTTTTCTTGATGGCCAAAAAAGTTTTTTTGATTGCTAAAAACAGTTTTTTTGATGGTTAAAAAAGTTTTTTTTGATATCCTTCCCAGTATAGACACTCCCACAGCTGTACAAGCATGCCCTTCATTGAGCGCGAGTCATTGGTTCAGTACTGTTGATTTTGCGAGATGAGCAAGCGTAGCGAGTATCCACCCATGAACCAGCTTTCCACATGTATATAAGCTTGCTGTGCCCAACACCATGACCTTCCAATGATAATACAATGCAATGGCAGCTGGAATGGCTCATCATTGAGTTGGGTTTTGAACGACTGGTTAGGCTCATTGATGCTCATTGACGAGTGGTCATTTGTGCTTTGTGGAATGAAATGGTCTAGATTTACCCTTGGTTGTTGAAGCATCACCTTTTGGCAGCCAATGTTGATTTGCTATGGTGCTGGTGATGCTTACCGGAAAATATGGGTTCAACTCTAAACATCAGGCCCAGTCTTTCTTTGGTTCTCCCTGTAAATCATCCCAATCAGAGATTCCCTTCAAAAGAAACAACCACACCCATAACGATGTTTATTGCGTTCCCTATGGGGTTCAACACCTGAACGTACAGGCCCATATATGAAACCATGGCCATGTTGGCTTTGAGGGCTGATTTTCCATACTTAAGCCACAACTAACGATGGAGCAGCCCAGAAGCTAGGGGTTCATACTAGGGGTTCTTATATGGACATGTACATTCAGCCTTTGAGGGAAGCAATGTTCCAGCTGCCCAGGCCCGTGGTGCCAAAGAGCGCTGGGATCAGGAGCAGGAGCTCGTCCGATGTAACAAAAACGGAGCTCGCGGGGATGTGGGTGTAGGCCCTGCAAAACTGGTTGGCTTGCTTTTGGTTTTCTTCAAGACCACCTTCCAACATTGGCTTTTCCTTTTCAGAGACCCATGTAGGTCCTGTACTCGGGGGGGTTCAATTCGAATTTTCCGGCGCGGGAAGTACTCCAAAGTTTGCAGGTTGGGGGTTGATGTAAGGTAGGGCAAGCAACAGGGAACCCATTTGCGGGGAGGGCTGTTTTTGAAGACAAACTCAATAATCCTGTGTAGACGTGCCAAGGTGCATAGTATGCACACAGGGATATTATGTATGTAATATGTTTCTATATAGTCCGAAGGGACACCACCCATTTTGCGTGGTCCCCACTTGGAGACAAACCTAAAACTCTTGTGTATGCCCTCACCATTTGCATGGCATACATGTGCATGTAATGTATAGGATACATAGATATGTAATGCACTGTATATATGTATATACATATTACATGTATAGGCATATGCGTATGTGCATTATGCTTGTATGCATGATGACTAAATGAAGGTGAAGCTTTGCAGAGGAGTGGATCCCCCACTCGGGCCAGCGCGCGCTTGCATAGAATGCGGGTGTCCATCGTGGCCTCAGTAGCTCATGGGCTTCGCTGAGAGAGCCCAACGGGCCTGTCAGAAACACGAGGAACCTACAGGAACCTTCTAAGAGCAGCACAGACTTATTTGCGAAATTTTCGTTGAGCGGGGACAATGGCATGCAAAAGTGTTGAGCCGAGCATTGCAGTCGCAAAAAGTGCTGAGCTTGCTGTCACTGACTGTGAGCAAATAAGTCTCTGGGAGACTCGCTGTGCTTTCCTTTGACTCCAGATTGACACTTGATCAGCAAGCCTGTGAGCAAATAAGTCTCTGGGAGACTCGCTGTGCTTTCCTTTGACTCCAGATTGACACTTGATCAGCAAGCCCCTTGAAGGATGAGCTTATTGATGAGGGTTGTGGGTGTTGTGGGTGTTGTTGGCGTGGTTGAGGGCTCATCGGTGTAGCCTATTTTGTTGATGCTGATGCCAAGGCTTTTGCTTGTACCGGTAGCAGTGGGGCTGGGAGCGGTTTTGGTGATGCTGCTGCTGCTGGTGGTGGTGGTGGTGGTGGTGGTGGTGGTGGCAGCGGCGGGGCGGCTGCGAGGCCGATATCAGAGTGGCTATCACATTGGCGTTCAACGTGTTCGTTCTGCTTCTGCTCCTTCCGCTTGAAACCTCTCAAACCCTCCGGCGGCCAGGAGCGCCTCACTCTTGCGGCACGGGAAAAGGGAGACCTGGTTGGGCAGCAGCAGCGAGCTGAGGCGCCAGTGGCATTCGGTTAAAATATCCAGCCTGTGCGAGCCACGCAAATGCAACCGCGAACGAAATGGGGCGAGCCCTATTTTTTTTCTCCGTGCTCTGGGGTAGCCGCATATGTTGACCGTGGCTTGAGCTCCAAAACCCCAAAAGCCCTGACCCAGTGCTTGAGCCAACTGGAGCTTCTTGGAGGGGCCTTTGCATGTGAGCGAGCTGCAGCGCACCTTGATTTGTTGGAGCCCGTGTTGAGAGACGGTTGTGGAGCTGATCCTTGCGTCTTGCGGTCTGCTTGCCCCGGCATCTTCTATTGCATGCATCTCCCCGGAAACAGAAAACAAGAGTTTTCACCTAAGCCATGGCCGCATGGTGAAAACAAAACGACCCCTGGTGTTCGCGATCTTGCGCAATCTGTGCCTGCCGCGTCGCTTTTGACGTGCTTTACATTTGCTTTACTGATTACATTTGCTTTACACTTTGCTTTTTGATGCGCTTTTTGACGTGCATTTTTTTAAACGTGCTTTTTGACTTCATGAGTCGTGTCAGGCTGATCCTTTCGGCCTCGGTAGCCCTGTGCCCAGCTGTCTGTCTGTCTGTGTGCCTGCCTGCCTGCCTTCCTTCCTGCCTGTTTATTTGTCTGTCTGTCTGTCTGTCTGTCCGTCCGTCTGTCTGCCTGTCTGTCGTCTCTTGTTGTTGTTTGTTTGTTTGTTTGTTTGTCAATGTGTGTCAAGGCATGCTTCTGGGGGATTTGAAGCGTTTTGTTCCAACCCGCAGGCGGCGGCCTGGACTTCCACTTGGCCGGGCCCAAAGTTTGGTCGATCGCGCTAACTCCATGATATCCCTTTTCAGGGGCCAATCGGGTTCCAGCTTGCACCAAAATGTGTCTCCCAGCGCCCATGCGTTAGATCTTATTCAGGAAATTCGGGGATGCTGACTCTAGGGAGCACCCGCCTTCCCCAAAAAGGCAGGTAGAGACAGATTTTGTTGGCAAGGCAAGGGGTCGGTGCAATGATTTGGAATCTGGCCGTGCAGAGTTGGGCCAGTGGTACTCTCAGAAGCAGATTGATTGCAGTTCATCGTCGTCGTTTCTTTGGTTGGTACTTTCGCCGCTTGAACAATGTGCGACCTTCAAGGGTTGGAGGTGTGAGTGATGGATTCTTAGATCACCCACTACAACGTGTGTTTGTACATGTCCCAAAACAGGTTGGCGCGCTTTCAGTTTCCTTTTTGTACTTTTTAGAGCCATCCACAGGTCTTCATTTCGAGGCAGGCTCGGATCATGCAAACCTAGATCAACCATCACTATAGTCAACGACTCCAAAAGATTTGGTCTCTCACTCAATGGGAGGAACCACTGCGGGCAAGCTGCCGACTTCGCCAGGATGAGCCGCAGTCCTTCCACGCCCAGCTCTCCGCGAGTGGTGGGCCCTGTTTGCTGGCTACGCCTTGGTCCGCAGGGACCCCGGCCGATTCGAGCCAACTCCCGTGCCGTTTGAGCAGTGTTGAGCTGCACTATATGACCCCAGCATTCGCCTAGTGCAAGGCTTCTCTTGTGCCATCAACCCAATTACCTTCTTGCTGAACAGTCCACGAAAGCTCTGCGAAAGGGTTTCTTGGCCCAATGTGCTCCACAAAAGGAAAACTGTGGAGTGCGCAAGATTCGCGAAGGCCGTGAAAGGGGTCGCTAAGGCAGACATGGAATACAACATCGTGGAACCCTGGTTTAGACCTATGCTCAGGTGTGGCGCCTTTTACGTCAGGTGAAAAGTTTCATTCAAGGGAAGCCACTCATGTCTAGAGTTCCCTAATTGCAGGACATGCCAAATGTGCTCAACTTGGTGGAAGGTCACGGCTTTGCACTTTCTTTGGCATCAGGTGCTTGCGTAGCTTCGATGTGAAACTTTAACGAAGGTCTCCTTTCTGTGGAGCTCTCCTAGACGTGGGCTTCAAACACCATCATCTTATCAAGATGCGCACAAACGGGTTCTTGGCATTTGCCCAAGCTGAGAAAGCCCAAGAAAAAAGATCTGATGAGCCTCTGCCTTTTTCCATGGGTCAAGATGCTCTACAATGCCGGTCCAGAGAACCCAGCTGCACGTTGGCCCCTGGCTTTTATCAACTCGACCTCGGCGAGATACGCGCTGCACCCTAAGGCCCAGCTGGGTGAGGCTAGATGGCACGATTTCCCCATGAAGGCAACGGTAGCATCTACTTTCGCCTGGTGTATCCTCAAATGGTAGTTTGTTGTCGTTTTGTTTTTCCTCGGAAAGCCATCAATGGCCCGGCATTGGCCATTTTGGCAAGAGGTCGGGGCACACAGCAAGTCCCTGGAAGCTCAAAGGCGGCCACTTTGATTTGGGCACCTCGCACAACTCACAAATTTCTCCCTTCATGTTTTTGTTGTTTTGTTCCCTTGAGCACCATGCAAAATGGTGTCTCTGCATTCTGAGTCCTGAGACATACCCATGCGCTTTTGAGGGTTGCGTGACTAAAACCAGGGCGGGTTTCGTTTGCACTGGACCACCGGAGGCCTCCCGCCTTGGCACCTGCTGGTTGCTACCTCTACGGCTCAGTGGGCACTGGCAAGAGCACTGCCTGGAGCGCTAGTGGGAAGAGGTGCAGCTCAGATGGGGTCCCCGGGCGGTGGCGTCCTTTTCTGTCCCTTTAAGCACCAACCAGTGAGACACTTCCAGTCCAGATCAGCTTTCGGAAATTTATTTCAGCGTGGTGGGAGACTCCCTGGCTGTTTTGGCCGTGTTTGGGGCACCTCAGATCTGGAGTCACTTGGTTTCTGGATAGTCCTGGTGAGTGTTCTTTGCTGGGGCGTGGAGCTTTGGAGGAGTTGGATTGTTTTGGTATCTGCCAAGTTCCATCTTCAAACAACTGTTCGGAGCATCTTCGAACTCCGCAGCGGGTTTTCGGGTTCGGCTTGTTTTCGGCAAAGTCTTGAACTGTGCAGCTGTCATCGACTGGGTATTGCTCGTCTGTGGCCCAGTGGCCCTTTCAGCCAGCAGGGTGGCCTGCCGGGCCAAAGTGTGCTGGCTTTTGTTGACTGGAATGATCAGTTGCGCAATGTGCTGGGGACTGGCCCACTTTTATCTGACTTGGATTGAACTGGTTCGATTTCTGTTGCTATTCAGCACTGGAATCACGCGGTTCGATTCTACCATGCGGCATGGATGGCTAGAACAGCACACGAATCAGTGGTTTGCTCCATATTCCGTCTTGTCCATAGCATGGAGGTGGACTCGTTTGCTGACTCAACATGCCTTCTGCGATCTTGAGGTCATGGACCTTTTCTGCCAGCTGCTCAGTTGCCAGCGCATTGGGATATTGTCCAAGCTACTTTGGATTCCGCAAGCATTGTACGTGAAGCAACCACATCCAACAAAACCCAGGTGAATTGCGGTGAATGTTGGGGGTTTCCCTTCTTCCCTTGCAATCTTTGGGGCATCCACTACATCAAGACAGGTCTTAACTTTAAAAGCGTTGAAGCTGGAACAAGCCAGAGGCATGCCTGATACTCAGCGAAACGCCCCTGTTTGACATTGGCTTGTTTGGCGGTGGCCCAGAATTGAGGTCTGCGTGGCAACAGATCCCTTGGAAGGAAACACTGAGTTGCAGCCAAAAGCTCGGCCCAAGCCATCCCCAGAAGGACCTTGGACTGTCGGTCCTCCAGCTGGCCTTTATCGTCAGGGGGCTCTTGAGCTTGTGGCAGTCCCTGAAAGCAGGAATGGAACAAGGAGGGCAAAAGGACTTGTTGGGAGCAAAGAGTTTCCCAAGTCACAAACAATATAGATACTTGACCGTAAATCGAGGAGCTTCTTCAGCGCGACATCCGGCTGCTGCTTATGAGAAGCTTAATCATTTCATGCTTGTTCTAAACGAAAGTGCGTTGTGATGTTGTTTGATCTTGTCTTACCAAGAACCGATTTGCCTTCATCCTTCATTTCTTCATCTTCGAACATGACCAACAATCAGACAAGCCGCCCTTCTCATCCTCCGTTCCGCCACAAACCAACCCTTAGCCCCTCGATAGCTTGGCTGTCAGCTTGCGCTTGGTTTTGGCGTCGTTCGTTTCAAGGCCTCACAACCACTCGCGGCTGGCGGGTGCGGCGCCAGCACTTCCACGAGCGTCTGGGCAGCTAACAGTGGCGGGGTCAAGGGTGGCTTGCGCGCAATTGCTTTCTGCGGCTTGCTGCTGCCTTCGCCGCTATCGTTGTCGTGGTGGTTGTCGTCGTCTTATTTTTTATTGTTGATGTTATGCTGCTGTCGGCTGTCTTGTCGTTACATCATGGCTGCCGTAGTCGGCCCGGCTGCAATAGTGGCCGTGAGCGCACAGCATGTGCAAAAAGTGCGATCTCCTTTGTCGTTGGCCGAGGCCGATTGCGCGTCCGAACTTGGCTTTCGTGGCCATGTGTGTTTCTTCCGCTGAGATTCCATCGAATTTCACGCGAGCGACTGCCTTGCTTCAGCCTTCCCCCCTCTCATGTTTGTTTGAAGCAGCGGCTTGCAACATTTTAGGGTCTCCCCATATGGGGATGTTGTAAAATTGTCGGTGAACTTCGAACGTTTTTGTTTCTCCGGAAACCGCATGCCAGGTTGGTTTAGGCCCCTGCTTCAACCAAGGTGGTTTCCCTTTCCCTGACTTTCCAAAAAGACAACAAGACGTAACATGTCAGGTGGAGTCGCCCTTGGTGGTTTCCCTGGTCCTGACTTTCCCCCAAAAATAAGACTATATACCCTCCCACCCATTAATATTATGGAACCTGACGTTCGGGGGTTTCTTTAAAATGGTCTAATGAGTCTATTGGTCTTCCAGAACCCCCCCGTCAACGTCAGGTTCCATGCGAAAAGGGGCGGGAGGGTATATCTTCTTGTTTTTTGGCAAGGACTCCTAGAAACCACCGAGGGCGCCTGCCCACCTGACATTCTGAAGGCGCCCCCCAGCGCTTCTCGCGCGCGAGGTTCGCGCTGTGGTTCCACCAGGAGCTCCACAGCTTGCGCCGCGGCGCCTCGGCGGAGCCGCAGCCTGGAGCCCAGCGGATCCGTGCGGTGCGTCCATGGAGCTGGTGCCCAAAGCCTGCCATCCAGGGAACTGGGGACCTGACTGGAATTTTCCTCAAGGGGCCCGCCTGGTAGGTTCCATGTTAGTGGACAAAAAGGTGTATGCGCTGATATCGGCTTGGTTGAAAGGGGAACCAAAAGGAACACCACCATGGGCAAAATCCACTTCGTGCCAGTTGGTAGGTGGTTTGCCCCAATATTTATGGGGCTTCATCCATTCCAAATGTCGTAGTTGTTGTCCATCTACGGTATAGGAACGGACAAAATGACAGGTTTCCGCAAAAGGAGATTGCAAATTGGGGTTCTCCTTTGCCATGTTCCAGTTCAAAGAATCTACTGGTGGGTTCCATGGCAACGGTGGGACGGTACCCGGCAGATTGATGGAATCAAAGCCACCGGCTCTGAGGACGTGCAAAGCGAACCAACCGAAGGTGTTGGTATATAATTTTCCTTTCCGCTCCCGTGCAAAGACCATGAACCTAGAGGAAAACGTTTGGCTTTGGAGCATCTTCCTGTTCAAACAGCCATCATGCGCATGAGGCGCCCTTATTTCATTTTGTCGTGTGCTGGTCCACTCCTTTGAGCTGGGACAATTGTGACCCATGTTCCCAACTGCCAACATTGAGGGCAACTGAGTTCCAAATCGAGGTGTCAAGGTGCTGCATGCGCTGAAGGCTTCTCCAAAGTAAGGGACCGGCGCAAGAGTATCATCACCTTGAAAATCCCTACGGGCGTTTGCCAGGGATCCACATGGGAAGCTGCCTGGGCTTTTTGATCCATAGGCACATTTCAGTTTGGGCTGACCTTGAACCATGGTAGCTAATATGTTTGTTGCCCTAAAAGGCGAGCCAGTCACTTTGGGCTTCAAACATTTAGGTGTGTCTCAACAGAACAGGTGATTTCATTTGGGTTCTCCAGCAAAAGGCCCTCTAAAAACCCTGTCCCCGCTTCAAAGTCTGCCGAGGCGGCATATCCTCGAGCGGGTGGCGGACCAGGCGCGGACCGGAACCTGGAGACTTCAGGTTTCGGGCTAAGCATTGGGGTTTGGTCCAGACCAACCACTTCAACACCAAGCAACAAGCCAAGCGCTTGGTTGGTTGGTTGGTTGGTTGGTCGGTTGGTCGGTCGGTCGGTCGGTCGGTTCGTCGGTCGGTCGGTCGGTCGGTAGGCTGTTGGTTCGTTGGAGAATTGAATTGTAGAATGGCTGTGGATCCCAGTTCTGGGAGAAAGGAATTGAGTACAGTCCAGTCATGGGTATGGGGGTCCCACTTTACTATTTTTCGTGTCAATGTGCTCGAAGCTCGCTTTTCGGGGGATTTTGAAGGGGTTTCGACCAGGTGGCGACTTGTGATGTGCGGGGGCAGCCCTGGCACACTGACCAGGATTTGCTAGTAGCACGGATTGGGGATGGTCCTGGGGCTTCAATTCCACATATTTCAGGGCAGAGTATCTTCCAATTTTAAAGGGGTTTGACATACCGGATTCCGACTCATGACCTATATGCTGAGCTTTTCTTCCGTGTGTCTTTGAATGCTTGTTGTTTGGGAACAATGGGTTGCTGCATGAGGACCGAAAGGAAACCGACCAAGGAGTCTTACATGTTGAGAGTGTGCCCATTTGCAGTACCAGTTTGGGGGTTGCTGTAAGGCAACCTGGGCCTATCTTTCATGGGGTCCCTCAATTTGGAGACATACCATACCCTCTTTCCACCATTCGACACAATTCAGTTGTTGGACAACTACCATCATCTCCAAAAGGCGGGTTGATGGGTTGTGATGAGCCTACAAGGAATGACTGCGCTCGAGACGCAACTTTTTGCCATCTTGTTTGCGCCTTTTCAATGACGACCCGGGACTCGTCATTCCCGCACTGCAGCAGCCGGCTGTGCTGCAGTTTTGTTCGAATCCCAGTACACCGGATAAGGCCTGTTGATTGCCGCAAGAATGTCTCTTACAAGACTTACGGGATTTGGCGCTCAGACATGTGTTCGAACAACAACTACTACACTATATAATATAGTAAAACGCAGACTAGTTCTTATATATTGTTTACTGGCAGTCTGTATCCATCCATATCCAACCTATTGATATCTATCTATATCTATATCCAGTTGTAAATGTGAGGAGCCCCCCATGAATGGGCAGGTCAGCCAGGGCTGCGATGTGCTGTGCCTGGACGAGTTCGCCGTGACCAACGTGGCGGACGCCGCCATGCTGGCGGAGCTGCTGCGGCTGCTGGCGGTGAGGCGCTTTTGTTAGCGTCGGATTCCCAGGGGCTATGGTTGAACAAGGGCCTCCTAATCCCAATAATGTTGACCCCCTATTAATCAACCCCAGTTTAGTAATACGGGAGTGTTCCCCTCCAAAAGTGAACAATCCCCGCTAACACCAGAGACACCCCCATATTAATAAATAGGGACTCGGGTGCGGGTGGGGCTTGTTTTTGGGTGGGTTTTCTCTTTGAAGGCGCCCCTGACAATGAGGAAATAGCCATATGAGGTTCAAGTCCATTTGGGACATGGATGGTGGTGGAGTTTTGTCGCCAGCTCGTAGTTTGGCTGCGGCCCATATGTGCCATGGTCCAGAGATCTTTAATGGGGAGAGTCATGGTTTCCTTTGGGAACTTAGACAACCGTGTGGATACTGTGTCCAAATAGGGGGACCTCCAATTGTCCGGCTTTCTTCAAACACCACACACACACACACACCGCTTAATTACCAAGGTTCCCATTGCTTGCGAGTGGCCAAGGGAACACCTGTCTGAGTGACAAGGTAGTTGCAAGGATGGGAGTGCCCACTTTGGTACCACTCAAAGGGTTGTCTTCTCCAGCCATGCGCGGGTCCGTGGTTTGTCCGCGTGCCCGGTTTATGGCCCTTGGGCCTTTGGACGGCTGGCCATTGCGCACTGCCTTCGCTCCGCTCGGGTCTTATCCAACTCCTTGCCATCGGGCCACTTCTTTTCGTTGTAAGTCCCAACCGCGAAAACTCGGGTTTGATGATTAGATGTGTCAGAGCTTGCAATGGCAACGACGTAGGACATGATGCGGAGCATGTTTGACGAGGCCAACATCAAACTGAGCAGCTTATTGCTGATTTGACAATAGCTTGAGTTGATTGAACCGTAATGCACTCTCTGGGGGAAGCAGCTCGGCATAGTGCTTGGCCTGAAAACACAAACGGCACAGAAGAACCAGCAAGAAGCGGAACATTGCAACGACGTGTTGAGCGGGAATATGTCAATAAGATTCGGGTGTTGTATATTGTGCTTGACCGTTGCAGGGCGTCCCAAGCTGTTGTTTTGGAGTGAGCTTGGCTTGCAATTCAGATTGAATTGTGTGCGTGGATGTGTGTGGATGTGTGTGTGTGTGTGTGTATGTCTGTGTTTGTGTCTGGGTCTGTGTCTGTGTTTGTGTCTGTGTCTGTGTCTGTGTCTGTGTCTGCCTGTGCCCGCGCCTGCGCCTGTGTCTGTGTGTCTGTGTCTGTGTGTTTGTGTTTGTGTGTGTTTGTGTTTGTGTGTTTCTGTGTTTCTGTGTTTCTGTGTTTGTGCGATTGTGTGTTTGTTTGTTTGTGCATGCGTGTGTGTGTGTGTGTGCGTATTGTGTGTGTGTGTGTGTCAGCAGGATGTTTGTAGCACAATGTCAAGCAAGGTCTTGGGGACGTTGCTCCACTGGCATGTTTGCCAACCTAGCATGTCATTGCCCACACTCTTCAAGATAGGGTGGAGTCCTGGAGGCGAACATCTCACAAGCACACCATGGGAAGCCTCGCTTTGCAGGCACGTCGCTGTGGTGTGCACAACGAATCGCCCGCCTGAAGACCTGTACAAGGCGTCGGGAGGGGACGAGGCAAGGCCTGCTTCTTAGAGATACCCTCCCGAAAACAAACATCGAGCCTGAATAGGGGTGCCTGGAGAACCATCTTCGCCATGTGAGAACCCAAATTGTTTTACGCCACCCGCGGGGGGACAGTAGATTTCTTCAGTGTCGCGAAATCGCTGCTCCCCCATCTCTTCCCCCAAAACGCATTGCCCAAATTCAGTTATGGTGTGCTTCAAACGAAATCAAGCGAAGACACCAGACCAACAACTGAAGTCCTGGCAGTGTTGATTTTGGTGGCTGATTTCCACTTGGTTTTGTTTAAGGCCCTGCAAGAGTCTGCCACCTTTTCAGTGCAAGGTTGGGCATGTCCCCCCAAAACCTCAGGGGCATGGGGACTTTGGTCATGTTGACTTCGGATGAATCTGGAGCGACACTGGTCAGGGCTGGTTGTCCGTTTGTCAGGGTATCAATCCATTTTAATTCGCTTTTCAAGATTCCGATTAGAGGGCTCCAATCCACAAAAAAAGACCCATCAACACATGTTCTTGATGGTGCTCAGCAGGGAATGAGGTCGGAATGACCCGAAACCATTGCTTTCAGGGAATTCCCGGGTTCATTCTCATCTTCCCTGCCTATCGCACCAGCAAGCTTTTTCGGGGAGGCCATCCGTCCGATAGGATGGCCTCCACCGGGAGCGCTACGTGCCGGCGCTGGTGGAGCACATTCGAGACGCCCTGCTGGTGCAAGGCCCCCGCTGTCCGAACCGCGGCGGTTCCGCTCGGTGGGCCGTTTTCTTTTCTCCTGTGACAAAAAACTCAAAAAAGGGTGTCCTCAAAATTTGAGACCAGAGCTTTCAAGCTTGGACACTATCATTTTTTTGTTTTTTTGTGGTTGGAACCAAAAGCGAAGCCCAAGTTGGGTTGGGCATGTGTCAAAATGAGCTGGACCTCTTTTTTTTGCGAAGTTTTCAGAGGAAACCGACATGAAGACGTAGTCTTGACCAACAGCCAAAATAAGCAGGGCTCTGCACGAACTGGGGCTGAGACGAATTCTTTAGTACAAAAACATGCAAACAACGCCTGCCAAATCTTGCCTGCGTGTCTGAGGAAATTGCCTGCTTGCTTTGAAGGCTTTGCTGCTGGCGATTAATTACAGGGGTGTGTTCTACTATTGTAGGGGAGCAGAGAACTGAAATAACTGGCAGGGGGAATGGGGTGGTTGGGTGTCACTTGAGGCCTGTAGACTCCCGAAAGAATCCCTTGGTAAGGCTTGGGAAGGCTTACTGAGCCTCACTGAAGCCATATTATTTGGGCTTAGCGGCTATACTTCGGGATCCCTCTGGAGACCCCCTGTATGGTTTCATGACAGTTTTCTTATTGGGTCAAACAGTGTTTTGTTGATGCCTGATAGGTTTTGATTTTGTCGCTAATGGCTAATATTAGTTTGTTCCCTATGACGCACCCTGCGCCAGGCATCTCAAAGTCTTCATCTTAGAGTCACATGCAGTGCAGATTCTGATTCCCCAATCGCAGATCCCGAACCTCAAATCATCATAGATTTCAGCTAGATCGATATACAACTGTGTCATTCGGATTTAGTCTTGAACCAAATTTGAAATAACCCAAGAGCAACCACAAAACCGCCAAAACGACAGCAAGACCACCAACACACCACCAAAGCAGGAGGCACGGCAAAAACACGACGTTGGGCTCCATTGAAGCACGCTTGGGACAAAACCAAAAGAGAGGCCAATGCCCTGAGTGGTGGTAATTTACACGTAAAACACGTGTTTTTCGTAAGGGGAAATAAGCAACTTGTTGGGCACGCATAGACTAAAAAAACACTCGAGAAAACGTTAAACAGAAAAAAGGGGGAAACTAAAACAGACAAAAGGTCCTGGCCCCAAGTCCGACATTTGCCTTGGAAAATGTAGGAGTTGAGTCTATGACCCTTTGTTTGAGGCTTTGCTTATTGTTTGTCTTGAAGTCTGTTGGAAACTGGTGCCGCGCTTTCATCTTCTCAGACATTGCGCCAAAAGGCTGCAGATTTGGCCAAAGAGTGACCGCACACTGTGAACAGTGGGTTCCCAATTGCAGCCCATATCTAGGCTGATGCTGCCTCACTGCAAGTTCGAGGAAGCAGGGCGCTATAAACACTCCTTAGGCTCATTGTACAAGGCTCCGCATAAAACTCCTCAGAAGCCTCCTGTAAAGCTGCTTGTAAGACTCCTTTTGAAGCTCCTACACGGCTCTTCTATAGCTTTGCGCATCTGCTCATTTGCTATCTTCCACCTTTTCAAATTTGCTCCACTACTGTCCATTACCTTTCCACGTGCTCGTCAAACTGCAATTAACTTTGATTAAAATCCTGTTTGGAGTGGATTTCCTACTTACATTAGCACTCAACATAAACTTTCCGATTTGGAATTAGAATAGACATTCAGCTGCACATATCTTGTTCTTCAACTCTACTACAGTTCTAATTCGATGTTGAATTGAATCTAAGTTCTAGTGGATGCAGCAAATATGATACAGCAACTACATTGGAACTATTCCCTGACTTACGTAATTTTTAACCAAAGGTAGAAGTCTAATGGAAGCACGAACACCAGGACCCGCAAAAGGCCTGCCTCTTCCCAGAAGACCTTCAAGCGCCCTGCCACGGGAAAACTAAGGGTAGCCACACTGTCTCTAGTGTGTGAATATAACTCGGGAAGACACTCTCGCTAAACATCTGGTGTCTGGAAAGGGCCGTTGCTATAGAGAGAGAAAGAGAGAGACTTCATGGGGCAAACCCACAAAACCTCGAAGAAACCCACAAAACAAAACAACAACAAAACAACTCCTGGAGACTATGTACTGGCTGAGGACTCCTGAACATTTCCCTTAGGACTTTTTTTTTTATTGTTTTTTTTCTCCCACGTGTTTTTGTTTTTGCCCAGAAAACCAAAACAGCCTCGAGCTTTTGCTTTTTTGGTTTGGAGACATGAACAAAAACAAAACAACTCAAGGTTTTTTGGTTTTCTTTGCAAAAACCGAAACACCTCGAAGAACCCCCCAACAAATTCATAAATAAATCGAAATAAAAAGAACAATCTTCTGGAGACTATGTACTGGCTGAGGACTCCTGAACATTTATCCAGGACTGCTTTGTTTGATGTTCTTTGTTTTTTGTTTGTTGTTTTTTTGGTCCAAGGACTCCTGAACATTTCCCTGAGGACTTTTTTTTTGGTTTTCTTTGAGTTTTTTTTAACCTTTATCTCTGTGAGCAGAACTCCCCCAAAAAACCCACCACTCACAGCATTGGTTTCTGAACCAAAACACCCCCAACACAGTACCGGAACACCGCTGGAACACCACCGAACCGAGCCCTCAACTGCCAGATGAACCCTAAACAAGCCCCAGACCAATGCTGAACCAGCTAGCTCACCCCTGCGGTGGCCATCGACATTGGGGAACAACCAAGAAAGCTGGAGCGAGCGATGAACACGGTAGTTGCCGGAAACTCCGGACCCCCAACTGCGGGTTTCTTCATTTCCGCACTGAACCCCAAATTTTGGAGGTCTTTGATTCCCGAAACTGCCGTGTGTTTCAAATCTGCGCAGACGACCTCGGGCTGGTTTCATTGCTGCGCCGGCTCTGTGTAGAACGTCTCCAGGGCCAAAAACTTTGCATTGGGATCCTTGTCCTACTGTGGCTGGCAAGTCATGCGTGTTCGGCCGTGCAACTTTGAAGTCTTTGAAGACCGGCTTTCGAAGCTTTGTGAAGTGCTCAGGCTCAAGTTTCAGGCAGCAGTTAGTCTCTGCGGGTTGGCATTTCAATCGATGGGCACCTCATCGGACGACATACAGAAGCTGCTCGGTTCCACCCGGACCAGCATGAGGGGGGTTTGTGGCGGTTTTGTGGGAGGGTGCAAAAGTTCTGAATGCGCTTGTGGTAAGGGGCGGGGGTATGTCAACATGGCACCCAACATATTTTGTATGTGTGCAAAAGCCCATGTCAAGGGGCAAGGGACCAAGACCAACAGCAATAAGTGCGAGAGTGAAGGCTAGGGGACACTCCCAACCAGCACTATCATTACTTTTTCTCTAGCACAAGCGGCCTTGAATTTGGGGAACCCTTTCCCTTTTCTTTGGATGTGACTCAGGTGAGTTTGGCTCCTTTTGCCACTTTTTGAGGCTTTTGGAGAAGCAGCGCGCCAAGCATAAGAAGGCGCAGGAGGACTGCGAAGTTGCCTCCGGGCCTTCAGTCAAATCCGTGCGGCTGGTGAACCTCCTGTGGGTGGGAACCAGTTTGAAGTGAGCTGCAAGCGAGGTTCTGGGTGTCCCCAGACCGTGTAATGGATCGGTCAACATTTCCATCAGGCTATGAGGTTCGGAGCACGGGGCTCAAAGACAGGGCGCTTCGGGGACCAGTGTTTTGGCCTGCAGTCCTGAGTTGCTTGAAGATGTTGATCCCGCCTCGTTGTTGCATTGCTCAAGATCCCAAAAAGGCCTCATCAGCTTAGGCACGCTTACAGCAGTTTGCCTGCACTACAACGGATTCCCTAAGCATTGGAAGTGAAGCAATCATGTGCAACCGCAAAACAGGGACATTGCAGCAAATGACTGTCCCTTTCTTCCCTACTTGCTGTACTGGGGAATCCGTAGGAATGCATGTTTGCCTTCTTTCCCCAGGAGAAAAGCTGGCTGCTCCAGCGTGGCAGCAGCAGCGCAAAGTTGCATTCCAGCCTGAAGATGGCTGCCAAGAGAGCGAAGAAGTTGAGACTTGGGCTAGAAGTTGCTACGAAGCACCTGCGCCGAGAAAGAGTAGCAGGTGAAGAAATTGTGTGATATGCTCAGTCAATTTTGGCTTGCGGCCGTAGAAGGGGACAGCCGAGGAAGACCGCGGATATTTGCTTCGTGTTTGACATCACCTCTTCCATGCAGTTATGGTTGGATGCAGCCGCGGAGAAAATGCAGGAGATCGTGATGGATACCGTGGAGCGCTTGGGGCAGGATGCGCAGGTGCGTGTGGCCTTTGTGGGCTACAAGGACTATGGAGAGCCAAACCATCCCACTGTCCATGACTTCACCTGCGACGTGTCCAGAATTTCGGCCTTCCTGTGCGGTCTGAAGGCTGAAGGCGGAGGTGATTCGTGCGAGGATGTGCTCACGGGCTTGGAGGCGGCTCTGAATCTGACTTGGTCATCGACTTCGAGGCTGCTGTTTTTGTTGAGCCAGACGCCGAACCACGGCTGGCGGTTCCACACAGATTTCCAAGTGGGCGCCGACCCCAAGTCAATCGACGAAGCCGTGGAAGCCTTTGGGGAGGAATCAGCGCACAATCGCAGGGAGTTGGCTAAAGCGCTCGCGTGCGAGTGCTATGACTTGCATGGAGACGATCCTCGGCAGTGGGAGCCAATGAATGCGGCCCTGGCTGGTCTGCAGAAGAATCGCATACAGCTGATGTTCCTGAAGGTTGGGCGTGGCAACAATATGGACAAGATGGTAGATGTGTTCAAGCACCAGTACCAAAAAGACACGTGCAACCCTTTGGCGATGAAGGTCTTCAGCCTTGATCAAGACGTCAGACTTTTCCGGAACCTGGTCTCCAGCACATCGTCAGCAAGTTTCAGTGCCTCCTATTCCAGACTGAGTAAGGCAGCTGCAGTGCCCTCAAAGAAGTTGCCGCTAAAAGTTAACGAGGCGCCGCCAGCTCCCTGTCAGCAAGTAGACATGAACATGTTTGATTTTGCACTCAAGCCCAAACTCGTTTAGTCAAGGATTGGACCAAGAGCCGCGATTGGGCGAGTGTGGAAGCTCGCTTGATTTCTTACGAAGTGGATGACTTGGACCAGCCTGCCCACAAGACATCTCGGTCTTGCAAGATGGCTATTTGTCCGACTCCGTTCAGCAAGGGTGCCATGCGATTTGCATTCTACGTCATCGATGAGGAGCATCAGGACTGCCGATACGTTGGCAAGGTCTATCAATTTGATGATGAGGCGTACCAGTGCAAATCGACCTACGAAGGGGACATGATGTCACAATCCGCCGCTCAGCACCTGGCCAAGGAGTTCACCATCCAATACCCAGAGACACGGTTGATGGGTGCGTGTTGCGTTTGGACAGTTTGGCAGTATAAATCTTTCAAGAACAAATGCCGAACACTCTCGGTCCGGGCCCAGGAGAATCCCATCGAGTTTGTGCACGCCCAGCTGCTGGTCTTGGAGACGTCCACATTGCCATTCAAATTCATGGCCCTTGAGCCATGGATCCCGGGCAAATATGAGAAGTTCACGTCCAACGCTGGGCACATTTCAGCGGACTCCGACGTGGCCCAAGCCTTCTCGCACTTCACCTATGAGAAAACTGGAGGGGAGATTCTGGTGAGCGACATCCAGGGGGTGCGAACGACTTTGACCGACCCGCAGATCCATTCGGAAGATGTGGACCGCTTTGGTCGTGGCAACCTGAGGACTAAGGGGATGGACCTCTTCTTCTCAAGCCACGTGTGCAATGAGATCTGCACCACATTGCAACTGAAGCCCCACCCCTTCCAGCCAGGCGGCCCAATTGCGGAAGAGTGTCAACAACTGCCGACTCTGTTGGAAGAGGGCGAATCTCCTGGAAACGATGAGGGTGACATGCCGCTCAAGGACTCCAAGTTGCATCTCTTCCTCGATGCCCTGCGAAGCTTGGCCGAGATGGGGTGGAAGCCAAGTAGCATGAAGCCTCGCTTGCCAATGCATAGCCCGCAAGGAGCAGATGCGGTCAAGTTGATGGAGAGCGCGTCGAGGCAGGAAAGCTTTTGTAAGCCTGGGCATGGCAAATGAGAGTGCTAGTGGTGTCATGTTCAACGAGAGATGCAAGCCTTCTAAGTTTGATGCACAGCACGCAGCATGGACACAAAGACAGCAGCTAACTGCATCCATTTTTCCTATTTAGCAGGCCCTTTTCTTCTTTGTGGGCGTCTCCGGACTCAGACAACCTAGCTGGCATGGTGATTAAGTGGACACCTGCGCCAGAGATTCTAAGCGTCCAGAAGGGGTCGCCGGCCGACCTGGCGGGATGTAAGCCAGAGGCCCGTTTGACACTGGTGGGAGGATCCAGCGTCTGGGCCTTGTTTGATGTGAAGCACTCAGATGTTAGCAGTTTTGCCACCAGAAAGACCCTTTGCAGCCTGTATGTAGAGAGAGCCTTTGAAGTTGAGGTTACACAGCTGGGTCGAGCAGGTGTGCTGAAACTGCTGGCTGCGGAGAAGAATATGATTCTTGCCACCTGGTCTCCTGCAAGACTGCAAGAGCTTTTGCGCGCAATAGTCAGGGACCCCGAACGAGACCTGACACGTCTGGCAGAGTTGGCTGCTTCCGGGTCTCTTGATCTTCTGAGCATGCCTGGTGCTTGCCTGAGTCGCTGGAGCACAGGGCAAAGTTTCAGCGGCCATGCTGGATGCGGCCTGCGCTAGCCTTGTGCTTTCATTCTCTTTTTGCAGGACTTGTGGACGCGGGAAAACTTCTTCTTGCTGCACACCTTTCAGCTCTTGAAGATCTGAGTATGGCAAGGAGGCAGGGACTAATTGCATGTTTCCCACGGAACGTCTGGGATCCTTGAACAGCTGTATCATAGCAACAACTGCGTTGTAAGACGCAGTGCTCGATAGTCCTGCATGCGTCATTTGCGCAGCTTGCCGATCATTTAAATCAATCGACCGGTGGCAAACACTATTTTGAGCTGAGGCATTTTAGTCAATTGCCCGTCGACCTCGTTTGGTTTGCCGAGTGGTGGTTGGAGTGCCATGGATCTGTCCAGGAAGAGCGAGTTTTTGCAAGCAGTTCGCCGCGATGCCAAACGCTGCCTGGCAGCGGTTGAGGGCGCCGCTAGCTCCGAGCCGAATGACTGCTTGGGTGGTGCGAGAATCGCCTGGACGTCTCAGCCGGAAGTGGTGGCGGTGGATCAAGGCTCTCCAGCTGATGGCGCCTTGGCTTCAGAGAAAGCCATGCGGAGTGCACAGCACCTCGTGCGATCTGCGAGGTGTGGTGGAGGTGGGAGAACAGCTGCTCCAAGTGAATGAGCGCAGCGTGGCATCGCTGACCCGGAGGGAGATCCTGGAGCTTTTGCAGGAAGGGGACCCCCCCATTCCGCATGGTGTTTTGGAGGGCCAAACGCATCACAGGAAAACCGCCGAAAGTAGAAGGATTCTTTTCAATGCGGAACACCCAGAGCCTTGGGCCTTTGACTTCGAAACATTCCCAGCTCTTGCAGGATGCCAAGTCGATGCGAACGGTCGGGCAGGCTGGGCTGGGGGCTGGGGAGGATGGTTTGGGCCAAAATCGAACTTGGGTAACTGGAGGCGAGGGGATCACAGCCAACCATCACTTTTAGATTCCTTTGTATCAGGTTGCAGCCCTTTTTGTTTGGCATGCAGAGGTGTCGCGGGCCAATGCTTCCCAACAGAAGGCGGCAACGCCTGTGCCCCCGGCAGCGCCCCCAACGGTGCCCCCGGCGGTGCCGCCAGCAGTGCCCCCGGCGGCGGCGGCGCCGCGTTTCGTCAAGGTGGACCCAAAGGCCAGGAGTGCAGCGTGTGAGTTCCCGTTTGGTCAAAGTCGTGCAAAGGTCGGAGGTTCCATGCACGGGCTTGAATTTATGGCTTGGAGTGTGCGGAAATCGACTGGAGAGCAGTTCAGCCCTTGACAGCTGCGCATTGAATCACGCCGGGTGCTGTAGGTTGATGCCGCAGCCAGCTCAGGCGCAGGCAGGGGTGCTGCAGAACAGGTTGAACCTGGTAACCTGGTGACTTCTTTTCGTGGCTTTGGAGGGAGAGCCAATCTGAGACAAACACAGCCTTCCGCTTGAAAGCATCGGATCCGGCGCATGTGGCAGGACTGGAACGGCAGGTCTCTGCTCGAGACTTGAGAAAGGCGGGCCAGCGGGTTGCCCTTGTGTTTAGCTTACGCGTCACCTCGGCTTTGGCGCTCGGCTTTTGGAAGGGCCAATTGAAGCCGAGTTTGTCTCGGAATGGGGCAAGCCAAAGAAGTACTATTCCCGGAAGCAGGCAATTGGCTCTTCTAGTAAAAACGGCCTGCGACCTTAATAGGGCAAACATCTTCTGCCAACTTCTCGGATGTTACTAACTTTTGGGTGTTATTTTGCTATCCCAAAAGACAAGCTAATGTTCTATCTTCTCTTCTCAAGTCTTGGTTCTGCTTCTTTTCTGTGGCAGGTGGGCCTGACAGGAGCCATCCAAACGCACCCCTCTGCGGGGATCGGGCAGGTCGATGTGCAAACACTCAATTGTGTTGCAGCTTTTTGTTGGTCGTTTTCCAGCTGCAGCCCGAAAGTCGCAACTTTTAAGTGCAAAAGTAGCACAATAAGTACACTCTTGCAGCTGCGGCTTGAGAATTTCTAACTTTTGAGGATGAAGGCAGCGCGCGAAGTATGCCTTTGCGGCTGCAGCTTCAATATCGAACTTAAACTGCAAAGTAGAACCCGAAAATGCAATTCTTCCAAATTCAAACTTGCTTCGCAAAGTGTACTTCCACAGCTGGAGTGAAGCCGGACAACGCCTGCAGATTGAGCAGCCTGCATACTCAGCTAGCGCATGTCTGTTGCATGGTTCCCCAGAGAGCTTAGCTATTATGGCTCTCTATTCATGTAAAGGACTGTTCCGAGTCACGAAATGATTTTGCCCCTGGTACCCCTGCTGCCTCCCCACTCGTCTCCGTGCTTGTGCTTGCTGACTAGGACTGTGTCACGCCTTCTCTCCCTGCTCGTCCCCCCAACTTGCCTCAATACTTGCTTGATGACTCGCACGCTTACCAGCCGCCTGGCATGTACGCTTTTTGTTTTCCATTCCGCTGCGTCTTGGACAAGACATGACGACAGCAGTTGGTCACCCAAGTGGTGGTTCCTCATTTGAACTGAGCTGATGCGTGCAATCTGTTTGCGATGTCGAGCGACGCCGCGGGCAAGACTAACAACTTTCAATTGCATTGCGCTTCCGTGCCACTTGTCGTCTTGTTTGATTTTATTCATCTCCTTTCCAGCTCAACAAAACATCAACACAACCAAGCCAGTTTCGTCCTCGTCTGGAAACCATGTCCTGAATGTTTTTTTTTCCCAAGCTGGCAAGGCAACGGCCGCGGAAGCCTTGAAGCGATGCGAGTCCAAGGGGCAGCTGCCCAACTTGCAGAGCAGCTCACCTGCAGTTTGTGCCGAGCTTTTTGGCTGTCATTTGCATGTTTAGTGGGCCTCCATTTGTATGTTCTTGGTTGGTTCCTTTTTCGTTCCCCAAATTGGAGCTCAAATGGTCGCTCATTTGCGTGTCGAAAGCACTGCAAGACGAAAGTGAACCCTCGGAGATTGTGCGTGAAGCGCCCTCGCTGTCCGCGCGAAGTGCGAAGCCCGCTCCCACAGCTCCGGCCCGGCGCAATGGCGACGTTGACGTACAAAGCTAGTACGCAAAGTGCACTGCAGCTCCGGCTCGAAATTCGCAACTTCTAAGCGCGAAAGTTCGCGGAGCACATTCCCTCAGCTCCGGCTGAAGGCTCGCAAGTTTCAAGTACAAAAGTAGTACGCGAAGAGCACTCCAGAGCTCCGGCTGCAAAATCGTAACTTTTAATTACAAAAGTAGTACACGAAGTGCACTCCTGCAGCTCCAGTTCGAAGTTGCTAAGTTTGAAGAGCAAGAGTGGTGCGCGACGTGCGCTCCCGGAGCTTTCAACTTTCAAGTGTCAATGGAGTATACAGTATACAGTATTCGAAGTGCGTTCCCATGGTTTTGGTACGAGACTCGCAATTTGTATGTCCCAAGTTGTACGAGAAGTGCATTCCAGCTCCGGCTGCAAAATCGTAAGTGGCTACGTGCAAAGGTGGGCGCGCGAAGCTCGCTCCCGCAGCTCCAGCTCGGAAAGCACAATTTTCAAGCGAGAGTCTTGTTCGGAAAGCGCGTTCTGGCATCTCCAGCCCGAAAAAGTCGCAACTTTAAAATGGAAAAGCAGCGCGCGAATTACACACCAGTATCTGCAGCATGAACATCACAGCTTGTAATCGCAAAAGTAGTGTGTGAAGTACACTTCCACAGCTAGAGCCGCCAGCCTTCTTGCGCAGCCAAGCTGCGCATAGATATGGACAAGAGAGTTTTCCGAGAGAGGGCATGAAAGATCTTGCAAGAGAGGTTGCAGAGCATCATGCGCAGCATACTGCGCTGCATCGCGCGCAACGTCATGCTGCATCATGCGCAACACGCGCAGCTTCGCGCGCAGCATCAAGCCACAGCGCCGCGTGCGCGAGAAGTTGACAGGAGAGATGGTCGCAGAAGCTACGCTTGAGCAGGGACATTGACGTCTTTGCGACTTGTTTTTTATGAGGTGCGAGAGGTGTCAAGGTTTATTTAACGTCTTTCCATGCTTCCGGCCAGCTGTCGTCAAGTTAAACCCATGGGGAAGCTGCCCCTAGGTATATTATGGCTGGTGTTTCTCCAAATTGCACGACGCTGTGCTGGTGTTGTGGTTTGGGTGGTTGGTTTTGTGTTGGTTTCCCTCAAACATCCAAGCCGATTTCGTTATGCTGACGCAGACCCATACTGATATGTGCTTTCGTCTGACTCTACGTGAGATTGCCTGAGCAAAGCAAGCGAGATGTCAGCAATGCGGGGGTGGCTCTAAGCACCAGGGCGCCCAAATTGCTGTTTTTTGGTTCCCCTTTTAACACCACCCTCGAAAAAGACTACTCCTAGTGAGTGGCAATTCCGCCGTAGACACGCACGCACACACACACAGACGCACAGAACCACAGACACACAGACACACAGACACACAGACACACAGACGCACAGACACACAGACACACAGACGCACAGATACACAGACACACAGACGCACAGACGCACAGACGCACAGACGCACAGACGCAAAGATGCGCAGACGCACAGACGCACAGACGCACAGACGCACAGATGCACAGATGCACAGATGCACAGATGCACAGACGCACGCGCAGACACACGCGCAGACACACGCGCAGACACACCACAGACAGACACAGACAAACACACACAGACACACACAGACACACACACAGACACACACACAGACACACACAGACACACACAGACACACACAGACACACACACAGACAGACACACACAGACACAGACAGACACAGACAGACACAGACAGACACAGACACACACACACAGAGACAGACACACACACAGAGACACACACACAGAGACACACACACAGAGACACACACAGACACACACAGACACACAGACACACACAGACACACAGACACACACAGACACACACAGACACACACAGACACACACAGACACACACAGACACACACACACGGACACACACGGACACACACGGACACACACGGACACACACGGATGCACACGGACACACACGGACACACAAGGACACACGGACACACGGACAAACGGACAAAAGGACACACGGAAAGCCGGACCACAGACCACAGACACACAGACACACAGACACACAGACACACAGACAAACTAGAGCACAGACGCACAGACGCACAGACGCACAGACGCACAGACGCACAGACGCACAGAGCACAGAGCACAGACGCACAGACGCACAGACGCACAGACGCACAGAGCACGCGCACAGACGCACAGACGCACAGACGCACAGACGCACAAGACGCAGACGCCAGACGCTCAGACGCACAGACGCACAGACGCACAGACGCACGACGCACAGACGCACAGACGCACAGACGCACAGACGCACAGACGCACAGACGCACAGACGCTCACAGACGCACAGACGCACAGAGCACAGACGCACAGACGCACAGACGCACAGACGCACAGACGCACAGACGCACAGACGCACAGACGCACAGACGCACAGACCCACAGACACACAGACACACAGACACACAGACACACAGACACACAGACACACAGACACACAGACACACAGACACACAGATACACACACACACACAGACACACAGACACACAGACACACAGCGTCGCAGACACACAGACGCACAGTCGCACAGTCGCACAGTCGCACAGTCGCACAGTCGCACAGTACACACAGACACACAGACACACAGACACACAGACACACAGACACACAGACACACAGACACACAGACACACAGACACACAGACACACAGACACACAGACGCACAGTCGCACAGTCGCACAGTCGCACGGTCGCACAGTCGCACAGACCACAGACCCACAGACACGCAGACACGCAGACACGCAGACACGCAGACACGCAGACACGCAGACACGCAGACACGCAGGACACACAGGAGGCAGCAGACACGCAGACACGCAGACACGCAGACACGCGCAAGACACGCCGCAGAACAGCAGACGCAGCAGACGCAGCAGCCAGCAGCACGCAGCAGCACGCAGACAGCAGACAGCAGCAGACACGCAGCAGACACGCAGCAGACACGCAGCAGACACGCAGCAGACACGCAGCAGACACGCAGCAGACACGCAGCAGACACGCAGCAGACACGCAGCAGACACGCAGCAGACACGCAGCAGACACGCAGCAGACACGCAGCAGACACGCAGCAGACACGCAGCAGACACGCAGCAGACACGCAGCAGACACGCAGCAGACACGCAGCAGACACGCCGCAGACACGCCGCAGACACGCCGCAGACACGCCGCAGACACGCCGCAGACACGCCGCAGACACGCCGCAGACACGCCGCAGACACGCAGACACACAGACACACAGACACACAGACACACAGACACACAGACACACAGACACACAGACACACAGACACACAAACACACAGACACACACACAGACACACATACACATACACATACACAGACACAGACACACACACACACACCCACCCTCCCACCCACGCACGCACGCTTGCACGCACCCACCCACGCACCCACGCAGCCACCCACGCGAGCGCCCACGCACCCGCACCCACGCACCCACGCACCCATGCACCCAAACCCACCCACCCACCCACCCACCCACTCGCTCACCCACCCCACCCACCCACCCACCCACCCACCCACCCACCCACCCACCCACCCCCACCCACCCACCCACCCACCCACACACACACCCACCCACACACACACGGAGACAGCCACACACCCACACACCCACACCCACACACACCCACACACACCCACACACACCGACACACACACACACACCCACACACACACACACCCACACACCCACACACCCACACACACACACCCACACACACCCACACACACCCACACACACACCCACACACACACACCCACACACACACACCCACACACACCTACACACACCTACACACACCTACACACACACACACCTACACACACCTACACACACCTACCCACCCAGCCACCCACACACGCACACACCCACACGCCCACCAGACACACTTACACACACCCACGCACCGACACACACACACACACCCCCACACACACACCCACACAGCCACACACCCACACACACACACCCACACAGCCACACACCCACACACACACACCCACACACACACACCCACACACACCTACACACACCTACACACACCTGCACGCACGCCTACACACACACACCTACACCCACCTACACACCTACTCACCCACCCACCCACACACGCACACACCCACACGCCCACACACCACACACCCCCACACACTCCCACACACACCCCCACACACCCCCCCACACAGTCCCACGCACAAGCCCCACACACACAAGCCCCCCACACACACAAGCCCCGCACACACAAGCCCCACACACACACAAGCCCCACACACAAGTCCCACACACACCACACACACAGCCCCACACACACAGCCCCACCCCCACACACACAGCCACACACACAGCCACACACACACAGCCCCACACACACAGCCCCACCCCCACACACACAGCCACACACACAGCCACACACACAGCCACACACACAGCCACACACACAGCCACACACACACACAGCCACACACACAGCCACACACACACACGCAGCCACACACGCAGCCACACACACACACAGCCACACACACACAGCCACACACACAGCCGCACACACACAGCACAGCCCCACAGCCCACACACAGAGACACACACACAGAGACACACAGAGACACACAGAGACACACAGAGACACACAGAGACACACAGAGACACACACACAGAGACACACACAGAGACACACACAGAGACACACACAGAGACACACACACAGACACACAGACACACAGACACACAGACACACAGACACACACACACACACAGACACACACACAGACACACACACAGACACACACACACACAGACACGCACACAGAGACGCACACAGAGACGCACACAGAGACGCACACAGAGACGCACACAGAGACGCACACAGAGACACACACAGAGACACACACACACAGAGACACACACACACAGAGACACACACAGACACACACAGACACACACAGACACACACAGACAGAGACCCACACACAGAGACACACACACAGAGACACACAGAGACGCACACAGAGACGCACACAGAGACGCACACAGAGACTCACACAGAGACGCACACAGAGACGCACACAGAGACACACAGAGAGACACACACAGAGACACACACAGAGACACACACACAGAGACACACACAGAGACATGCACACAGAGACACACACACAGAGACACACACAGAGACACACACAGAGACACACACACAGACACACACAGACACACAGAGACACACACACAGACACACACAAGCACACACAGACACACACAGACACACACACACAGAGACACACACACACACAGAGACACACACACAGAGACACACACACAGACACACACAGACACACACAGACACACACACAGACACACACAGACACACACAGACACACACAGACACACACAGACACACACAGACAAACACAGACACACACAGACACGCACAGACACACACAGACACACACACAGACACACACACAGACACACACACACAGACACACACTCAGACACACACACACACAGACACACACACAGACACACACACACAGACACACAGACACACACACAGAGACACACACACACAGAGACACACACACAGAGACACACACACAGAGACACCCACACACACAAACACACAAACACACAAACACACAAACACACAAACACACAAACACACAAACACACAAACACACAAACACACAAACACACAAACGCACAAACACACAAACACACAAACACACAAACAC